TGCTGAAATAACACTATTAGAGGTCATTTCTCTCTAGATGGTAATTTTTCCTGTTATTTGAAGATGGAAAGCACATAGAAGTGAAATAGTTAGAGTATGCTGGTTTGATAAGCTTTGATTCAACCCACACAGCAGCACAGAGAATGACTGGACTGGTCTGTTTCTGGAGGATATGATGCTGTTGGTTTCAGAATATCCACGTGAAATGTAAGGGTTGATAAATGTGTACTTTTGAATGATTCGCTGCCCACCCTTGCACCCTCTTGTGACAGCTTACCCGAGCCACGGATAATAAATATGTGCAAATACCGCAGTGTCGGTTAATGCAGAACTGGACGGCAATTAAAAAAAAATTATTTTGCTCTTGAAATCCAGATATGAACAGCTGTATGATATTTTCCTGCTCTTTGTGCAACAGATTTTGGTAACTTAAAGATTCAGGAACCAAATCTCTGGTTTTATATGTAAACTGGCGGAAGTTAATGATTGATGGTTTATTTTACCATCTGCTTCTAGATCTTTTTAAAAACAAAATCTCTGTTTTCTCAAATCTAGAAAACTAATGATTAGAAAAATAATACCCTTGAATCTTTGTTGGATGCTTCAAAAACAGCCTAAATTAAAATCAAAGTCCTGCATATAGAGCTTTGCTATAATCTTAACCTGCCAAAGCATTGTTTAGAAGGAGCAGTTAGCAGGAATGATATACTTAGAAGTCAAAGTGGAATTTCCCTCATTACTGTAAATTTGATTAACGACCGAGGTGAGAATCTGAGGTCTACAGCTATTTTTGTTTCAATATTTAAATGGCAACCAGTCTACATGTGCAATTTGGAGCTGTATGTGTCTTTCCCCTGTTGGCAGCACAGCACATGCTGATTTCTTTGAATTATCATGGCTGTATGTACACTAGATAAAAGAATCTTGGACTGTTAATCGCTGTTGCTTAGTAAAAGTGTTTCTGTTGCAACCAGAAACAACACAAGTATCCAAAGAGCCAAGTGTGTTCCTAAATGTTACTTGGAGTGCTGCCAGTCCAGGGCTGTTAAATCTCTCTTTGTTGCTTGTGGGTCTCAAGCCCACAAGCAAGTTAAGGTAACACTGCTACTAGCAGCCATGATAAACCGCTTCAGTCCTGCCATGGTGGCTTTGTACACGTTCCAGATGTTTTAGGAGGTGTCACAGTTTTTCACTTGTAATGGGAAGCATACAGCTTTCTTGTTCCACCCCAGAAAAACCTGCGAAAATCATCTGTGTACTTTCGAGGTTATAGTGTAGTAGTAATTCAAAAGCAAAGGGACCCAACAGATGGTGCCACAATAACCCCTAAACAGACCAGGGCTGAGCGATTTAGGGGAGTACAAGGGCTGATATGAGGCAACATGAATATGGGTTTAACCTATCATGATACTCCATGCAGGATTATGGTGGAATCAAATTATTATTTTCTGTCATCCTAATCTGCATCAGAAATAATACTCAAATAATCAAAATAAAACCTGGACTGGAAAGCAAAGATTAGAGAGTTTTAGTTTGTTCGGGTACACATTCAAAGAGCTTCATTTAAATATCTGATATTGTTTTTTTTATAAAGCTTAACCTGCATGGAGTATGATTAACCATTTGTTTCTGGTTTTGCTATTTGTATTAGGAGAAAATGTATCACAGTGTTTCAGAAAAGAGATTCTCTAAAACAGCACTTGATTAAAAACAAGGACAAAAAACTTACGAGGGACATTTTATGTCATATGTTTGTTTTTATCAATAAGGAGCAAATGCATTAACATTTAGGTTTGCAACCATCTTTCCTGTTGTTGGCCAATTACATTTTACAGAATTTATTTGCAAAAGCCAGAATATCAAGAGAGATGGGAAGTTGACTTAAGAGTAATATTACTATTTCTTAGGTTTTGAAATGTCAAGGTTACGACTTCCTAGATTGGTTAGCTTCTGAAGTCACAATATTTGCGTTAAGTGGAGGTAAACTTCTCAAGTTGTTGTAAGGGAACAATTCAAACAAATGGGTTGCTTGTGTGACATTGAAAATGGGTTCAGTGTTTAGATACCTAAAGGTGCAACATTCATGTGTTCAAACAATGATAATCAGAGTTCCTGCTGGTGTATTTACATAAAAAATGGTTAATTAAGCTGATGATCAGGCTGATTCGCTCATTTGTAATGAGAATATCGGCCCTTTGGGTGACATTTGTTCTTCCTACCATCGGAAATATGCAGATACCATGTCTTTAAACACATTTACCTCCTTATTTGTACATAAACATGAGGGGAGATCTGTGAAGATGTGAACCCTGCACTGTTATGGCTATAAAAAAACTAACCAACATAGATCTTTAAGTAGAAGGTCACTGAAACTGGTAAGTACCATTGTACCAACATAGGCTGGAGGGTGGCTGAGAGAAGGAGAAAATGATACTGAAAATAAAGTCTAGATTACAGTTTGTAGATGCTCTAACGGAGGTAGAGCTTTATGCGTCATTCGGTCACAATGAGTGAAGCATTGCGAGGATAAAGGGTGAAGCTGGTAACCCTGAGAAATCCCCATCGTCATTTTAAAGTGTAGGGGATTTGATCTGTGAGATTTTTTTTGTTTCGGACAGGACAGGTTTCCTTCACAAAAAAGGTGACAAGCAGAAATACAGATGAAACATCCATCAACATAAAAAAGTACAGTCATATGAAACAGTTTGGGTACCCCTATTAATCTTAATTATTTTTATTTCTAAATATTTGGGTGTTTGTAACAGCTACTTCAGTTTGATATAGCTAATAACTGATGGACACAGTAATATTCCAGTATTGAATTAAGGTTAATTGGACTAAGATAAAATGTGCAGTACGCAATAAAACAAAAATTGACAGGTGCAAAAATATGGGCACCTCAGCAAAAAAGACACATTAATATTTAGCAGATCCTCCTTTTGCAAAAACAACAGCCTAGTCGCTTCCTGTAGGTTTTAATGAGTTCCTGAATTAAGGGATTTTTAACCATCAGTTCAGTTAAGTTTGATGGTCGCCAAACATGGACAGCCTGCTTCCAACCATCCCACAGATGTTCAGTGATATTCAGGTCCGAGGATTGGGATGGCCATTCCAGAACATCGTAATTGATCCTCTGTATGAATGCCTTGATTGATCTGGAGCGGTATTTCGGAACATTGTCTTGCTGATATCCATCCTTGGCGTAACTTCTACTTGGTAACGGATTCTTGGAACACTATTCTCAAGAATCTGCTGATATTGAGTGGAATCCATGCGACCGTCAACTTTAACAGCCAGCATTGGCAACACAGCCTCAAACCATGGTGGAACCTCCACCATATTTTACAGTGGGTAGCAAGTGTTTTTCTTGGAACGCTGTGTTTTTTTTTTTTGCTGCCATGCATAACACCTTTTTTTCTATGACCAAACAACTCAGTATTTGTTTCATCAGTCCACAGGACCTTGTTCCAAAATGAACCTGGCTTTTCCAAATGTGCTTTTGCATACCTCAAGTGATTCCGTTTGTGGCGTTCTTGCAGAAAAGACTTCTGTCGCATCCTTCCCCCATACAGCTTCTCCTGGTGGAAAGTGTGCTGAATTGTTGAACGATGCACAGTGACGCCATCTGCAGCAGGATGATGCTGCAGGTATTTGGAGGTGGTCTGGTGGTTGACCTTAACCATTCTCACCGTTCTTCTTCTCCGCCTCTGATATTTTTCTTGGCCTTTCATTTCTGGGCTTAACAAGAACTGTCCCTGTGGTCTTCCATTTCCTTACTATGTTCCTCACAGTGGAAACTGACAAAAATCTCAGACAACTTTTTGTATCCTTCCCCTGAACGACTCTGTTGAACAATCTTAGTTTTCAGATCATTTGAGGGCTGTTTTGAGGTGCCCATGATAAATCTTCAGATTCTTGCAATTGGCCACCTTAAATACATTTTCTCATGATTGGATACACCTGGCTATAAAGTTCAAATTTTAATGATGTTATCAAACCAATGTTGTGTTTCAGTAAGTCAGTGAAAAGTAGTTTAGGGTATTCAAATCAATAAAATGATTAGAGTACCCACATTTTTGCACCTTGAATGAACCTCAATTGAATACTGAAATTTTACTGTGTCCATCAGTTAATAGATAGTGTTGCAAACACCCAAATATTTAGAAATAAAAATAATTAAGATTAAAAGGGGTGCCCAAACTTTTTCATTTGACTGTAGATATAAGCTTGGGGATAGATGGCACATAATTACTGTAGGTAGAAAGAAGCTTTTTGATGGTGAAAGGTATCAAATTGTCCATCACAATGAGCTGATCATGGTCTAATGGACAATCCTGTGGTTGGGTCTTTGTATTTAACTGGGTCTTTGTATTGAACTCAGTTACACCATATCTGTCTGGAGGAATGGGCCAAAATTCCAGCAGATTATTGAGAGATGCTTGCAGACAGGGAAAAAGGGTTGGTGTATATTAATGGTGTCGGTTTGGACCGTAAACACAAACACACACTGCAGCTGCTGTTCCAGACGACATTTTAATTTGCAGCTGAGGAATGCTGGTGTGGTCATTCAAGCCTTACATTAGGGTTCACTGACTCTGAGAAGGATTCTCACCACCTGTGGGTTTGTGATGGAGGTAATCTATGAATGATGGGTTAGTTTGGTTAATGTTTGACCTGGATCCACTTGGTACGGGGAGGGGGGGGGGGGGGGGGGGGGGTGAGCGTGAGAGCCCCATGATGTTTGAAGCTGTCAGCATTCTTCATCACATGCTCTGTCATATTGCACAGAGGCGACTGGTGAGATGAACCAGCTGTCCCAGTTTCTGTTCACACCAAGGTCAGCCTGCTTGAAGACACGCATGCAGGAGCAAACATACACATGCTGCACTCACTCCTGGATGAATGCCTTTGTTGCTCCTGTGCTGAAGAAAAGCTACTTGCTGGATATTCCTGTTGTCTGACGTTAATCCTCTCCCCTCTTCTTTTTTTTTTCCTCTCAGGTGGAGGAGGCAAGAGGAATGGTCGCAGCAAGAAATGGAAGGAGATGCTTAAACTCCCACACATCAGCCAATGCGAGGAACTTCGCCGCATTATCGGTATGAGGAGGGAGGAAACGATGCAAACTTACCAAGCAGGGTTGGATAGTCGTTGGGGTGGGTCTGATTTCGGAGGGGAGAAGTTCGGATTGGACTTCCTTCCTGTTTCTACCCGTCTCCACCCACAGCTGAAGGAAAGGAGGGGGGGGGGGGTTCAGGAAATTGGGTGTGTGCATGTGTTAGTTTCTGAGATCTGGAAACGGTTGGTGAGAGTATTAAAGATGAAATTACACCCATGTCTGCTCACACGTTAAATCAGAACCTGCCCTCCACCCCCTTCTCTCCATCATAGGTGATTTCTGTGGTCCGGCCCTCTGGGCTAGAACACTGTGCAAGAACCTGGGTTGTGTGGATGCCACCCAGCATCAGAGTGGCTGCTCCTGTGCGTTTGCTTGTGCGTCACAGCTCTCCCTGCCAGAGATTGCAGGGCTACCCTCCCCCACATGCTCTCATACCCTCCCTCTTCTCTATCTCCATGCATCCCTCCACCGCTATCTGCATCTCTCTCTCTTTACTCTTTGAGCCCCTTCAGAGAGCAGCTAAAGAGGAGAGTCGTGGAGGGAGAGGCCTTTTTACATTTGCAGGAGAGATCTTTTAAGGACAGGATGGATAAGAGCAGGGCAGAGTGAAAGGCATGTAGGTGTATATACACTCTACTCTGCACTGATTGTGCTTCGTGTCAGCTTGTCCACACATCCCTGATCATCTGTCACAATATCGAACCATTCCAACGCCTGAATCCCATAGTTCTCAGCTACTTTGAAGGGACGCGTTCCCATCAGGACATGTAGCCTTGCAAATAATTCCAGTAACTGGCTGAAAGTGCCTGTGTGGGCACGCACACCCCAGCTGTAGGAGTTTCCATGCATCAGCATTTCATAGCTGCCATTGTGTAATTTCCTTATGGCGCAGAGCACAAGATCAAAATATTCCTCCTTGTGTAATCAGACTGACAGATGTGCAGACCTGCGCATGTGTGCACACAAGGATGTGGTAAAGTGACTGATAGCAGTGTCTTTGTTGTGTCTCGATATTATCAGGCATTTGACCTTAGCCTTGACAAGCAAGTGGTAGTTTTAGTAAACCCAGATTACACTTTAGGGGTTGCTGCCACTTTGTCTGCCAGCTTCAAGCCTCCACATATCATCATCATATTGGTTCACTGCATGAAAGCAAACTTGCTTCCACTACCCTTCATCAGACCTGATTGGCTTATTGAATGTGTTTAGAAACCACCTTTAGAAGTTTCTTTTCCACTTAGTGGCTCTTTGGCTCATTTGTTTGATCTGGGTCTAATGTGATATACCAACACGAAGTAGTGAAATTATCTAAAAATAGTGCTTCATTTCATAGTCCAAAGCTATTCCTCTTTTGGGAAAAATGTGGCATGTTTTGGTATTCGCCTCCCACTAAATACCTACTTTATAGCTTCAATTGAAACTACAGCTACAGGTTCTTTGGGGTGTCCTTTTAAAAGCTTTACACTTCTCAGAGGGATATATATATATATATATATATATATATATATATATATATATATATATATATATATATATATATATACATTTTTTTTTGCAGAATAACTCAAGTGAAACCAGATTGAATAAAGAAGATCATTGATTTGCTTTTTTAAAGTCTTCATATACATCACTACTTGACTTGGACATTAACAAACCCTTTTTTAGCACCTTCTTTGAGTTGATTTACGTTATTCAATGGCTGTATGTTTGGGGACCTTCTAAATGGCTTTCCAGAATTGCCCTCTGTTACCTCAAATCATCATCATATCAAGTCTAACCAGTGTCCCTGTCACCGCTAAAGAAAAGCACCCCCACAGCATGATGCTGCTTCCTCGTTTCATCATGGAGGTCGTGTGTTCAAGATGAGGTGCCACACATCATGTTTTCTTTGCCACAAGTCCCAATTTAAGCAGATCGCCTGGATCCACGTATTCAGGGTGTCCGCTGCATGGCTTGGGGCTAATCTCAAACCCACTCCACACCATCACAGTGGACAGATAACTTGAGGGAATGAATACCAGTTTTCCTGTGGATGGATTCTGGTGTCTGAGTTGTGGATTTCTGCTGCTCCTCCAGAGTAGCCATGGTTGCCTCGGCAGCTTCTCTAAGATGATCATTGTCTTGTGTGGCTTAGGTGGGCGACCATGTCTTGGTTGTTATGAAGCTGTTCTATGTTCGCTACGTTTTCTGGTGACCGATTCGGCAATGCTCAGTAGGACGTTTAAGGTTTGGGATATAATTTAGTACTCTACTGCTGCTTAAACATGAATGCAATGTTCCCGAATGGTCTGCTGTGTTCTTTGGTCTTCATCATGCTATTTTATCAAAATAAAGTCCCATCAAATGAAGCGTTATCATCAATCTGCTATGTATAGAATGCAGAAAATTTAAGATTGTCTCTACCAGGTTATTTCACAGCTGTCTGCTACTTCCTATTGGTATATAAGATTAAACCAAAATTAAAGACTCTTCTGAATACAATTACAGGGAGAACCGTTCACTGGAAGATAAGTCATAACTCTAAAAAAGTCATTTCTTTCTCAAAATAAGTGCATTTGTTCTTGAATTGAGGAGGAAAGTGAGACACTTTGCCAATGGAACAAGACAATTTACTTTTAAAATAAGGAAAAAAAACAATGTTATTGTCTTATTTCAAGTGCATAATATCTAGTTATCTTGTTTTAAGTCTAAAAATACTCATTCCATTGGTAGATCATCTTATTTAACTGTCCAAGTTAAGGGCAAATACACTTATTTTAAGATTATTTTACTATTTCTAGATCGTTTTTGCAGTGTTGAGAGGTAGGAATACCTTTGAACGAGACTATACATGCTCACAGAGAATGATCCAACTTATCTGTCCATTCGTCGTCTGACCAAAACGCTTCATGCTCTACTAAAGTGGGATTTTAATTAAGGTGAAACTGCAGCTCGGTTCAGAGATAAAGACAATTACTCAGCCTTGCCTACGCTTGCTCAACTTTCTAATGCTTCCCTCTCATTTTCCTGTGTGACTCCTCACCAACACTTGTCAGCACTGCTTTGTCAGGACTTGACAGAAATGTCTCTTTAATGTGGAGATTTGATTTTTATAACATGCTGCAGCAAAAAAACAAGAGTTTGTTTTTGGCACTTTATCGCTTATAAAAACAGTGGTAGTTGATGATAAAGCACCCTATTTATTTCAGTCTCATTTCCACCAAATAATATTTTATTAGATAAATACAATAATGTTCGTAAAGTCATCCCCCATCCTATTCTCAAATTATAGATCATATTTTTATGGTAGTTGCCACAAAATTGATAAAAATATGTATATTGTCATCTAACAGCTTTTATGTGAAAAAGGAAAAAGCACAATTTATTTCTGATGGTTGCTTACAATTCAGTGTTAGTTGTGATAACAGCTTAGCTTTTCCTGTTTTATTTCTTTAGCAGGTCACAGATGATATAACGGCAGATATTTACTGCTTATAAAACCCAATCAAACAAATAAAGGTGTAAACTTGTAGGATGTTCTGTTTTTTTTAAAAACTCATCTGAACTACAACTTCCTTTGAGTGCTTACAGGTGAGTGTTGCTTCAAGCCTGTGTGCGGCCATATCCTCAGCTGGTGTTTCTAACTCAGCATCCGTGTTTTCTGAGTCAGCTCCAGTGCGCGGCAGTGGTTGGTCTTCCAGGAAACTGCTTTGCTTATAGAGAAATGGCTTGTTTATAGAGGAAGTCATGAAAATCTACATAGTGAAATCATTCATGTGTCCTCGAGTGTAATTGTTGCCAGGTCCCAGTTCTCTGTGTACCAGTTAAATGGAAACAAACGTTAGAACATGTGAAGGTTGTACAGTAAGTATCGCTGGAAAAAAAAAAGGAGAAGTAGAGAACAATTTTTTTGTAGAAATGTCAACATTAGGGTTTAATCAGATAAAGGTTTCCCTGTTTTTGGGCTGATAAGATCTGTATGATGATGAGCAGCTTGTGGGAGCAGTGGGCTGCCATGGCGGAGCCTTCAGAGTGACTGAATGGAACCCGGGGAGCTAACGTCTCCATCAACCAGTCCACCACTTCCCAAATGATTGGAGGAATTCTATGGCTATTCTCCTGGTTTATACTGTTCAGCTCTCCCTACACAACTTCTAAAATCCGAGCTGTGACTTTAATCCGATCGAGCCACTTTGTCAGTGTGATCATGGCCACCTTCCCTTTGGAAGACCCATCTGTTCCCGAGCTTTGGCTTTCTGGTTGATGTTTCATGTTGTTGCTCCAATATTCTCTTTTCTCATGGTGTCGTTTTTATGAAGGCCACCAGTCCCTCCTGGTCATGGCCAGAAGCTTTCATCATCATTCTAAAACTGTAGTTTTAGAAGGTCGGTCGTTAAACGACAACCCCCCCCCCCCTTTAATAACTGACCTTTAGAATCATAGACAGGTTTCAGATATCACAGGCTAACAATGGAACCAAATGACCCACTCATAGGTTACCATTTGCATGTTTCCAAGCAATACAAGGCCTTGTCTATATAAAGACTCAAACTCACTGCGGATCCAGACATTTGAATTGAGAAAGCTTCATGGAGAGGGAGCGAAACGTCTTCAAATCTTGGAAACCAAGTCCAGTGGATTGTTTTTTAAACTTTTACAGAATGAATGTCTTCTGCAACATGGATTAGATGTTCTTTGTCTTCTTCCTCTCCATTTTTAAGGAGTATCTGCCCTACCTGCTTTAGCTAACATCTTAAGATAATCTGCTTGTGTTCTGGGCTCAAGGCAAAACCAAATCATCGTCATCTGTGAAGACACTCAACCCATCGCTTTAAATAGAGGGTTTTCTGGACGTCGCCAAACTGTTCATATGAGGGTTTTAGCTTTAGATGAACAGGACTGGTGGAGGTCTACGATTCTCCTTATATTTGGTTAATTTTTAGAGTTAAAGGTTGTGACTTGATATATATATCCTTAGATGTGCCTTTAGTTATTGCAAATATATGCAATATAACTTAAAAGGGATGATGTAATAATCTGTAATCTGTATTTAACCCATCCCCGTGGGGAGCGGTGGGCTGCCATTGTGCGGCGCCCAGGCTGTGGTGACGAACCGGGCGCTTGCATCCTTGTCAGAGCACAATGGCACTGCTCTAACCACTAGGCCAACACTCCTAGTTTTGAATTATATAAAGTCAAAGCAATATTAGTTTTTATAAAGCTCTGAATTTATAATAAGGGAAATCATTTATTAATCAGGCATTTACCAATGTAATAAAGATGCTGAGTTTAGACTAAATTTAATCTCAGATATCAGTATTCTGTGCTCTTCCTTCTCATCGGGTAGAATAAACCAGCTGCAGAAACCTTTCTCAGGGTTTTAGACAGCAAGTCGCTGTGGTTTGCTGTTTGTATCGGTAAATATTTGGTTTCCAGCTGTCGTCGCTTTCAGACCGAATGAGGTCGAGTATAAACCTTTGTGATTAAAGCAAACTCCGCTTTAGATAAACACTAACCACTCAATGTTTTATTCTTTTTAGGCATTAAACTGAGCAGAAATGAGTGTTTTTGTAACCCTAATTTGCTCCAGTCTGAAGCCTGTTGGTGGAACCAGTAAGGAGATCCGCTGCACATCTGAGAATCAGTTTGCCTAGGTTGGTTGTTGAGTGAAGCCAGGATGAGAAGAAAACCAACTATTTATGAACAGGCTAAAACCCTGACGCCATTGCTTCACAGCCTCAAATCTCATCATGGTTTTGTACATAGGTTCCAACTGCAAACAACCACACAAAGTAAACGCGTTTCACATGCATCTATGTCACACATCTTTTTTTTTTTTCATGCACACCTAGAGGAAGTTCTGTATTGTTCAAACAAATGGCCTGAGTGTAATTTTTTTAGCCTGCCTTTAATAATCCAAACTGATGTAATTTCCCCTATTATATGCAAAAAGGGAAATTCCTCCAAAGGAATGTGACATAGTAGAACTAAGCGCAAAGTGTCGTCCATGCAATTAAAAAGCATCAGATGAGAAGTTTTGTGTTCAGGTTTAAAACGTTGCGGCCATGCTGTTTATAGGGAAGCAATAAAAGTCTCAACTGGGTTCTTCTCAGTCACCTGTTTGCAGTGTTAGACTTCCTGTAGTGATAAGGTCTAAAATGGGGCTCTGAGCTGCAAAGAAGAGGGGAGGATGTGTTTTATAAATTAAAGAAAAAAAGGATTACTTTATAAATGGTTTCCCATTTGGTTGCAACACCATGACTTCTCATACTGACCAAGCGTCCAATAATTCTACAAGTACACAGGTTTGTGTATTTGTAGGGGTGTAAATAATAATCGTTTTGTATCGATCCATCCATCCAACAGCCAACGATCCGATGCAGCGACACGTCCGCAAGAGTAGCGATTCATGTTTGTTTTTTTACCCCCGGTCTATTTTTATCTATTTGCCCCCGGGCGTAATTCTTACTCCAGTGCTGCGGTGGCGCTAAACCTATTTTGCCCTCCTACCTCCATTCCTGGTTATACTTCTGCAGCAGTGTGTCGCAGTGAGCTTGACGCAGACATTTTTGATTTATGCTAAATTTTCAGCGTGGTCTGCGCTACACACTGTGGGTCTAGATACGGCCGAGGCGGAGAGGAAGTTGGGGCAAGTTTGTCCAACAACGGAGTGACATGACTGTGAAAAATAGCGGGGATCCAGGTGGAAAAATGGTCCCAGCGTTCTTGCGCACCTCGATCTACTAGCTGGTCAAACTTCACGAGTTGTTTTCCGCAATTGCGGTCATAAAAACAAAACAAGCCGACCTCCTGTCTGCGGTCACCTACAATTTGAGAGAGGTACAGCGGAGTGTCTGCGGAGGGGGCAGGGACATCGACACTCTGGAGCCAAAGTATTGCATTGCACTCATTGCAGTATTTTTTGATGCATAGCCTTTCAGAATCTATAGCGCAGGGGCATGATGATTTTTCAGTGAATAAGGTTTTAATAGGCCTGGGTGGAGTACAACTTTTCTACTTCTGTTATTTGCTGTTTTTTCTCAAATAAAATGCATAACGACATTACAGCTTTTATTGATTTATTTTAAATTTGAAACATTGTCCAGCCTGTAAGCTAAAAAAGAAAAAAGAAAAATTAACTAATTCATCAAATCTTATCGTGCTGTATTCTTGAGTATTGAAAATGATCTAATCGTTGGGTCAGGAAATCGATACTGAATCGAATCGCCATGATGGGTGTGATTTACACCCCTATGTATTTGATGTGTATGGGTGTGTTTGAGTCTATCCTGAACGTGGGTTGGCGCTGAAGAGGTCCTGCATAGTCTTCCTCATTTTGAGAAAATGTGAGTCAAAGTGACAGTTGGTTCTAAAACAGGGGAAAAAAGGCTAATATGCAAACTGAAAACATGGATACAGGTTTGTTTGGTTTCTGAGGCGTTTTGAAGAAGAAAACCTATCCCCTGTTCGAGATTGGATAGTCAGGAGAGCAGCATTCACCCTCCTCAGCCCCTTTGGATCAGGGAAACAAACGCTTCTAGTGGTTCATAGTGGGTAACGTTTACGGATCGCCCCTTCATGTAGACGTGGATGTGTGAGAATCTAGAATTTGACTGAATAAAACCCCTTTGGGTTAAACTGGGCCAGACCTTGTTGTGCAGCATTAGTCCCTGACCTCACATATAGCCCTTCATTTCATGACGTTTCACGCCGCTCTGGTGTTTAGGTTGTTCTTCAGGATGGCTAAACGTAGTCTGGGAACTCTAGCAGTCGAAAAACATTTTTCTACAACCTAAACTCTTGCTAGACAAATTTGCTGCAATTTTTATACTTAACCACTTGCTGATGCAGCACAGTCAAGACGAGAGGGGGGTAATGATAGCTCTATGTAGATTATGATTTGAGGCAATGCTGGCCAGAGAGCAGAGGTCTCCTGATTACTCTAACATGCATGAATCAAACAAAATACCACTCTGGGCATGATTCTTATGAAGGACTAACAGTATAAGTTAGATTTTGCATGATATGGGCCCTTTGATAGTAAAAACAATTAAAATGGGCTCTACTTGTGTAGCTTTATTAAATCCAAGGAGTGCTGTAGACCACCGGACCGGTACCGGTCCGTCGGTCATTTGGTACCGGGCCGCACAGAAAAAAGTATATATATATATATATATATATATATATATATATAAATATATAATTTATTGACGATCAGAGTCCGAGTGATGTTTTATTTTGAAAAATATAAAAATAAATGCGGTATTCTCTCCCAATTACATCAGTCGGTGCATCTGTTCCTCTTGACACAGGTTAATTCAGTTCAAGACTCATCATATCTATAACATCCTATCTTTGTGAAGCGTGATTTTCTGTGGTTACAGCGACCAAAACAATTCGTGTGTCAATTTCTCTGATTACGCCTAGATGGGACCGGCTTGCTTGTTTTATTTTTATGCTGTTTGTATTTGATTTTATGCCAGTCGTATCATTTTGCTGATTAAATGATTGTATTTACCCTATTTAACCTCCTGTATCCTATGCCACTGTAGCCTATGGCTACAGTGGCATAGCCTATGGCTTGTATTTCAGTGAAACTTGTATTTCAGTGAAAAGTAGCTGCTTTAACGAGATGAGATGTGGATCAGCTGGGATAAGCTTCCTCGGTCTGGTGGGTGACCTCATGAGCATTGGAGAAAAGCTGCTGTTCCTCCCATGGGAAGGAAATCATTTTAATGGTGCAGGTATCTGATAAGAAGGCCTCCCATAAAACGTGAAGCTAAATGTGTAGAGCTGTAATGTTGAGCTTGTTGGGCAAGATGGGATCCACAAACATTGAGAGAACAAAAGTGTAAAGATGGTTTAGCAGCTGAGATGTATTGATTGTCATTTTCCTCAGAGGTTACCTGGACCACCCAGAACCTTGAAGCTACTGGACATCTCTTTGTTTCTCTCCACAGACAGAGACTTCACCAGTCTATGTGAGAAGCAGCCCATCGGTCGGCTGTTGTTCCGTCAGTACTGTGACACCAGGCCGGAGCTGAAGCGATGCATTGACTTCATGGATGCTGTGGTAAGAGTAAATATCAGCCTTTATATATCCCCCCCTCCATGATCTCAAAGCTTGTCTTTTATATATTCCCTTTTGCTGTCCGTCTGTCCACTGGGTGAGACTGGCCTTAAATGAGTTGAAGAACTGGGAGAGGTAAACGGAGAATTGCCTGCATGCCGGTTGGGTGTAGAGGGTGATTAGCAACTTTGGCTGTTAAAAAGCACAGCCCCTCCTCTTCCTCTCTGCTCTCCTCCATGAGGTCAGACCAACGTCAGAGGCAGGTCCCCTGGGTGAGCAGGCAAACACAGGCCCCAGCTTGTGTCTAGGCCCCTGGTGGTATGCGAGAGAGGAAGCGGGGCGGGTGGGGGGACATGCCTATTTAATGATGACCTATGTTGGGGGGTTCAAGGTATGCAGACAAGCAGTGATATACACGCTCTGGAAAATACTCATATTCAGACACTGGCGTTAATTTAAAACAAATGGCTGTTGCTGTGATGCATAGTTGCACCCCAGGGTCTGCCTCCTCTCTGCAGAGCTTGTTTTCAAACAAAACAAGCGACTGGAAGCAGTCAAACTCCCCACCATCGCCCCACTTACGGCCATATTTGACCAGAGACATAAGCCACCATCCAGTTAGACCACAAATGTAATGAATGATGAATATACGTATGATTTTTGGTTAGCTGTTTGATACCGTCCCCTATCATTATTTTCCTCTCGTGTCTTTTCTGTATTCGGGTCTTCCCCTGGACTTGTCTCTCTCCCCTTATTTGGAGAAGTATTAAGATTGATGTCTAAACGTGGCCTAACGTCGCTCCGCACATGTCTTTGCTTCCTCCTACAGGCCATGTACCAGTTGGCTCCTGATGAGAAGAGGAGGGACTGTGGACTGAATGTATTAGACACATACTTTAATAATGGGGTAAGATGCTTGACCATGTTTACTCAAATTCAGAACCAGCTTATACAGTCAGTATCGTTTATGGCCTTAAACCCACAGAAACGCTCCAGAAAATTATGAGTGTTGGAATAAATATGTAGAAGTTAGAACCACAATGTTCTTAAATGTTTGAAGAAGTAGCCTACTTTATATCAAAAAATGCAAGTTTATGTTGCTCATAACAAAGATGCAGGCGTAAATTTTTTATTCATCTTTTGTTACGACTCGGCAAGCGAAGCCACCAAAACAACTATTATGGAAGGAAACTTAGCACCTGGTTGTGCTCTTTGCTGGCTCTAGATTTATCTAAAGGGCAAAGGATGTATGATCTCTACAACATCCACCAATATAGTGCTTATTTTATATGTTTTATTTTTCATCTATGCGTTTTATCTAGAAACATTACTGTCATTGTTTAAAGCCCAGACCTGAGCCTCTGGCCACATTTGGCAAATCGCGGCTTTAGAACGAGCCTTGTGTGCTTTTTTGGTGAATTTTTAGCATATTGGAGCTCCTGTGTCTCAAACTGTGGTTCTATAAGTACATTTTCAAGTCATGTATTTATTAGATTGCCTAGACAATAGTTGCACTGCAAAGTCTAAGCATCCTTTGAGCTTTTGCACTTATTATCACGTTACATCTACAGATATCTGTGTGTTTGTGTGTGAATGGGTGAAGATGCTGTTAATGCAGAGTTCACAACATTTTTGTTCTGTTCTTGGTTATAAGCTTGGATGGACTGTTATTGACTCAAACACATAATGGGTTCAAATGGTTAATTGTAATTTGCGCAATGCTGGTCAGATTTAAGCTTTTCTTTTTTTTTCTTTTTTTTTTTAGTGGGAATCTGTCTTGCAGTGCTTAACTACTGTCAATATAAAAAGCTAATTCGAAGTAAAGGAACAAAAATCTTTCTTTTAACTCCTAACTATTGGTTGCACATTTCTGACCAGCAGCACAGAGGGAGCCCAGACTAATGATCATAAACTGATATACCCTGTCTCTCATTCACCAAAATAACATGAATTGCAGCAATCTCCCATCAGAGGTGACTCTCTTTATTAGAAATGAACAAAAAGTATAAATACTTTTCAAAGACTAGGGTTTATTTGGTGAGTGGAGTGTTGTGCCATGCAAATACTCTATCTTTAATTTTTTGGGTTGTTTTTTTTTCCTTTTATTTACGACAGTTGGGCAAAAATGTAGGGGAAGCTTTTATAAAAAAGATTACCACTTTCATTTGCTACTAATCGAATTCATTTTCTATGTTTATTTAGATTGTTTTGAAGGTTTTGGAAAGGTTGGCATAATACCTGTGGTAGAGACCTAGACAGACAAACATCAAGAATCAACCTCTTCTTAGATCTGACATTCTTATGTAGAAAGTAATGAATCAGAAAGTTGATACTGTGGGTGCATTGCTTAATAAGAATATGGCAGCAAAAGGGGTCATTCTGATGAAGTTGCATTCAAACAAACTGATGATCGTAAGAGTTTAGGTAAAACAAGGCCAGTGTCTGGATCTTTGGCCTTTATGCACAATGATACAAACAAGGGTGATGGTGGAGGAATATATTATTTTGGTTTTTTCACAGTAACAGAATGTGGGGACTTCAGATGCAGCCATTGAAATAATATCAACTCTCCCCCTCCATCCAGTAGAATTACATGTGGAGCCATCTGCACCACTACTAAATATTGGCTGCAGGTAGATATGCAGAGCTTCAGCTCCTGGAAAAGTAGGACTAAAAACCAAAGTTAGGCTGTTTTTGTGGCACAGAGTTCATATTGATCTGATTTAAAATGCTGCGGTGGGACTTGTAGAAAGATGTGCAAAAATATAAAAAAAGAAAACCCTCAAACCTCTAAACTTAGGACGCTTTTAGTGCGATCAGAGCTGCAGCATCACAATGAGGCGAAGAAGATATTTCGGTTAGATCTCTGAGTGTGTTGCTAAGAATAACTTCTGCTTTGTGGCTTCATTTTGGTTAGATACAAGTAGTTGTTTCATATCCTAATTTAATATAATGTATTTATTTAAATGTATCTGTCACTTCAAAGGTATAGGAGGGGAGATTCCTGTTTTAACACATGATGCTTTACTTCAGAATGTTGAAGGAACCTCATTTCTACTGTAACCAATAATAACCTGCGCAACATGAAATTAGATTTAAAGAAGTTTTAAACACTAAAATGTCCTTTTTTATACTCCATCCACTAAATGTACACTGGGTTCCTAGAGGAGCATGTTATTGATTCCATTATTTTTCCAAAAAAGAAAATAAAACAAGGAGAGAAGTGTTTTAACAGTTGATTCCCCATCTAGTTATTCCTTTCTAAAGCCTTTACTTCTTACCGTCTTTGTTTCCTTTATCCTGCATTTAGGCTCTCAATCTCTCTTGCTTCATGTCCATAAGTCCTTCCTTTCCTTCCTTTCATCTCATTCACCTCATTATTCCCTTACTCACTTCATTCCTTGCTCATGTCCTGCTATTTTCTTGCTTTCTCCTCAGCGACTTTTCCTCTCATTCCTTGTGTCCCTAAATCCATCCTTAAGTTATCGTGCCTCCTTTCCTTGTCTTTTTCTTTTTCTTCCTGGTTTCCTTGTCTGTCCTTGTGTCTTTCAATCCTTTATTCCTCTTTCATAACCTTTATTTCCTTATTGCTTTTTTATTTTAATTTCCTCCTTCCTTTCTCCCTTTACATCTTTCGCTTTGTCCTTCTTTGTCCTTTCTATCCTAACCTGTCTTCATCTATCCGTTCCTGTGTCCTACTCTGTGCTTTGTCCTTCCTTCCTTCCTTCCTTCCTTCCTTCCTTCCTTCCTTCCTTCCTTCCTTCCTTCCTTCCTTCCTTCCTTCCTTCCTTCCTTCCTTCCTTCCTTCCTTCCTTCCTTCCTTCCTTCCTTCCTTCCTTCCTTCCTTCGTTCTTTCCTTCCTTCCTTCGTTATTTCCTTCCTTCCATTGTTATATCCTTCCTTCCTTCGTTATTTCCTTCCTTTGTTATTTCCTTCCTTCGTTATTTCCTCTTTCCTTCCTTCTTTCCTTCCTTTGTTCGTTCCTTCCTTCCTACCTCCTTTACAAAGGTCAGGGAAAGATAACCAGGCCAGTGGTTTCCATGTGTTCCTTGTTGCCGATATGTTGAGTATATTAAGCCCTTCTATATTTATGTGTCTCTCTCTTCCCTGTCTCATCTTCTGTTCTTTGTCTCTTTAACCCTCCAGTCGGCGGCCCACCTGCCAGACATTCCCCAGGACGTCATCGCCCTGTGCCGAGAGAGCCTGGAGCAGACTCCCTGTAAGGAGCTCTTCAACGACTGCACCAAGTAGGTCTTGAAACCTAATGCTTTACTCCCAGCTCTGATCTGACTTTCACACAGCAGCAGAAACAGTATAGATTACTCATGCCAGCAGCTCCTTGAAGATCCTCTATGGTGCTGATGGAACCGTCTTGTCTCTGGTAACGATGGGACAGCTGACACCTGGGGTTATGTAATGGTCATCAGCATGCACTCACAACGGAGCGGTGGCCAGAGAAAGCATCCGGACGGCTGGCACAAAAACAACAAGCACCTCAGTCTTCGTCATACACGCAGGTTGACAAACACGTACGCTGATGCAGGTGTTTGAACTTCCTCCACTGAGAGGCGGAGGAAGCAAACAGACTGGCTCTTTTTCACTGGATACACACATATAATGCTGTCTATTTGTGTTACACATAAAACTAATGTAAAACACCAAAACCTTCATGGTAAATGGAAAATATGGCAAATAGGTTGTAACATGTACCTAGTAGTGATAAAGGATTTGGAGAACATCATTGCTCTCTATGTGGTTTGCTGCATTTATTCCCGAACACACTCAGAAGAAGCTGAGAGCAGCTAAGTTGGAGGTGAAGGTATCTGGTTTGCACGAATAGACTGGCAGAAGTCTGGCTCTGGAAACTGCAGGTCTCAGATTCCTTCCTTTGAATCAGATGCTTATGGAGCATATCAGCATGTGATTTTATAAACTGAATTTCTCACATTTATTTATTTTGCAATTACAAACTTTGTTGTATTTTATTTTGTGAAATAAACTGCCATAAAATGGAACATAGTTGGGGAGGTTAATTTTTCCCATTCTGCATTTACCTACAGTGGTGTCATAGTTATCTGATCAAATTGGTTTATATGTCAGGAACGCTACACATTTATGAACATTTCTTTAAATGTGTCAGTATTATAAGAAGCTTGTTTTTAACTGTTGTCCCTGGGCAAAGTGTATAATGCCAACACTTATAAAAAAATATATATAAAACAAACAGAAAATTTAAAACATTGAGGCTCCATACTTACAAGAGCAGGTCATATAGTTCAAACAGAGACATTAGGATAAATATATGCAGATATTTGAAAGGTAACACCCAATCCTGACATTTGGTCATGCATCAGGAGTTGGTAAGAATCATCAGCTGTATTTAGCCGAATTTACTTGTTCATTGCATATTTTTCTAGTTGTCCAACGATGCAGCTAAACAGCAACCCAAAGTAAAGTAAAGCATTGCTGACAGACCCGTTTATCAGCCCCACATGTGTAGAGCTTATCCTCTACATGAATGCGTCGTCAGCCGTCGGAAATGAGGCTCATATAAGCTACAAAGGTTGATAAAATCAGACTGGAAATCCTGGAATCTAACTCTGACCTCCTTTTACTCATGCACTGTTTCTATAGATAATTCGATTACAGGTGGAGTGCTGACACATGGACTTTAGAGACAGTTTCGACCAATTGTTTGATCAAAGCAGCTAGCCCCTGCTCTGAAAGCCAAAATATGTTGTTGATATCATCGAGCCAGCAGACGTTTACTCTCTTCCAGCTTGTTTCCTGGAAACATACTTCCATGTTTTTATAAGGGTTCAGTAAAGTAGGTGCTACTGTACTGGGACATTACCCTGTTATATATCTACTTGGATTGTTCACTAGCTGTCAGAGGTTCTTATGATCTCATAAAGTGGCTTTAGAACGATTTCTTAGAGCTCGTTTTACAGCAAGGCTTAAAGACTAGACAGGAAACGAGCAAAATAAAGAAACTAATAAAAAAAAAAGAAATATTCAAAATACTTAAAGTTGTTGATCAAGACTATTTTAAGACTGCAGAAATGTTTGGCTGAGGTACGTATTATTGTTTTTTAAAGGCATGGTTTACTGCGCGTGAAGACTGGAAGTTTGGGCTTGGCTCCTGACTCACTTGAGATCCTCAGGAAAACGTCTGGTTTCAAAGAGGAATTTAGGAAAAGCAGGGATCATAGTTGGACAACAGCTGCATGTGTTCTCAGTTTGAAAAGGAACTGGGGATTTTGTTGAAGTTTAGTTTCTAGAATAATAACTCCAATGGTTTGGACCTGTCAGAAAGGACTGAGACGAGCCGTTACGCTGTTGCTTCTGGATTTTTAAACTTCGGAGGAACTTCTCAGGACTGAGTCATTTTAAATCTTGTTCACTTCATTGTGAGCCTGTAAAGAGGTCATATGTGTTTTTTTTTTGTATATGTGAGAATATGCTTTATGGTTGCTTTATATAAACTACGCTGCTTTATATAAACTACAAAGAACTACAGGATTTTCTAAAAGTCTTCATACCTCTTAAAATTCCTTACATGCCAATATTCTCAAGAAGACCTTTTATAACCTAACCTCATGTGTGGTGCACATGATAATTATAACTATGAGTAGTCTCATATTGGTATAACTCCAGCATTTCAGTGAAGGCCTTAGACTTTTATTTTTTTTACATTGTTTTTTAACAAACAGGATCACGAAAAACAAAAAGTTTAACAGAGAGTTGGGTTCTGAAGCATTACCCTAAGCTCCCCATATAATCTGCATATGGGAATACTATGACTTCCTTTTAAAATCTATGGAGACTAGAACAGCAAGATAAACTGACAGAGTTTCAAGGGGGAACAAAAAGCAGCCAGGAGGCCCATGGCAACTCTGGAGGAGCTTCTGAGGCTACGTTCACACTGCAGCCTGAAGTGACCCAAATCAGATTTTTGGCCCATATGCGACCTGGATCTGATCTTTTCATGGCTGACTGAACAACACAGATCTGATTTTTTCCAATATGACCCAGGCCACTTGGATATGTGGTCATATACGAATCTGATCTTTTCAAATACGACCTGTGTCTGAATGGCCAGCTCGCATTCATCTGACCTGAACGCCATTAATACTCAACGAAGGTCACTATTCTGGGTCTTGTTATGAAGAAGCAGCAAGAAAAACAACAACCATGGCGGACGATGATGCGGAGAGCAGTATTTATGCTTAACCATCTTGAAAAGATTGTGCTTTTATGGTTGGGAAAGGTCGCTAGATGCGCTCCGGCTCTACCATCCATGTTTTCTTCCGTAAACACAGAGCATGCTGGCCTGTGAAGTCATTGCGTCATCCACTGTGCATGCGGGACACTTGTGTTGTATGAGTGCAGTTCACACAGGTGATCACATACAAGTCGCATATATTTGGGAATGTGAACGGCAGCGCAAAAAAAATGGATTTCACAAAAAAATCAGAATTGAGCATCAAGGCCTGCAGTGTGAACGTAGCCAGAGACTCATGGCCTCAGATGTTTAAAGGACAGCTATGAGTGGAAAGAAGGTCGCTGAGAAAAGCCAAAAGGATCCCTGTTTGTCACAAGATGACAGCAAAGGCCTTGGAAGTAGTTAGTCAAAGTAAACTATGACTTAACATTTCGCTCACCACATTTAGCTCAGCATCTCTATGCTGACAGTGGACACAGTGGTGGCAGCATCATTCTTTGGGGATGACTTTCTTCTGCAAGAAAGCTGAACAGGGTTTTACGTGAAAATAGTTGGTGTTTGACAGATGACTTGAATGTTGAGAAAAAAACTGTTGGAGGTCTTAAAAAACTTGAGACTGAGGTGGAGGTTTTCCTTCCAGCAAGGTGGAGACCCAAAAGCCTAATTTACACTACCCTTTTCAAACCATGCTGAGATCGATCCAAGCATGGTAACCGAAATAACTGTTGAGTGTAAATGGTAAGCACACCTGAACCGGACCACACCAGACACAACCGAACCGTGCTAAACTGGTACTAGTTCATCAGTAGGGCTCAGCGCGGTTCAGTTCTGGCTCAGTTCCCAGATAACAAAGAGCGCATGAGTAGACCGTGTCATCTCCTTACAATCAGCCTCCATAATCATGAAATTACAGACATTTATAAAAAAAATACAAGCTTCCCTACCGTGCAACATGATTTCCAGTGATGATTCTGCTTAGCAGTGTGATGAACCTCAAATCCTGTCATTGTTTCCTGCGTCTGTAACCCCTGATTAGACTATCGTTTGTCGTATCCAAAAACTTCCCAAAAAACCGACTCTGTCTAGAAAATTCACTGAAGGCTTAGTCTGATAAACCAGATTCAATGTATAATTTAGTCTGGCCCTGATGATTGAGACATCGAATGATTGTTGATGGAAAAACCCGCTGTTTTTCAAACCACGTCTGTGCCTATTGGCCAGCGCTCTGACCAATGAGCGCAGCTGACTGTGACGTAGGAAGCGTGACAGAAAGTTGGTGGGGGAGTGTAAATAAACAGCCCTGCGGTAAAACGGCAATACGTCCTTCTTAAAAATGCATGAGCGTAGAGCCTCTTCCTGCTCACGTTTCAACAAAACCCCAAGTGTAATCCTTCCAAAACTGATTACAAACAAGAACTGGTCAATAGTTGTTGCCATCTTCTTTGTTCTGCTTTCTCCAGCGTCGTGCAGCTTTGTCGTCACGCCCTCAAAACCCTGCCTGCTTTGCATCCAGAAATTCAAAACGCATCTCTGCGTTGTGATTGACCCGCCAGTTCTAGGGCCTGGGGCATTGATCGAGGCTAGACCCACTCACAGGCAAAAATGATTTTGGTGCTGGCGGGTGGGGCTAGTTTACTAGGCTATTATTTTAATCCTGTTGCTTTGTTCTCAGCTTTTATTGAAGTAATTTTGCATAGTTAAAGGTTCTCCTTGTGCACGCTCTGCCTTAAAGTTGCTGTTTGCATCGCTCATGCAAGGGCCTAGGGCATTGATCGAGGCTAGACCAAAGACAGAGGCAAAAATTATTTTGGCCGCTGGCGGGTTGGGCTAGTTTACAAGGCTACCAAAGGCTGCCTTCTTCTCCTGACTCTCCGCTATGTTGACTTGCTTGTTTACCTCTAGAGAGCAGTAGTACCATAGATTGTCACTAGGAGGTGAGGAACCATGCTAGCGTATTGTGTAAATGATTGTAAGAAACCGAGCTCAGCACAGCTTACTGGTCCAAGTTCGCCACGGATCGATTTTCAGAGGGTAGTGTAAATGGGGCTAAAGCCTGCAGATGCAGTGTGCAGATCAAAGCATATTTATTTCTAAGAAGTGTTGTAGTCAAAGTCGGCGTCTAAATCGAATGAAGAATCTATGGCAAGACTTGAAATTACTGCTTAGATTCACTGGGAGGAGCTGTAGTTGGTTAAGAAGAGGGGTTTCCTCAGGAGGTCCGAATGCTGCTGCCCTTCCCCAGATTACATCTGAACGTGCAAACATGAAACCACTCAGGCACATGTTGCAGCTTAGCACAACCCGTTTAGAACAAAAGATCTTCCTAAGTTCCAAAAGATCTTCCTAAGTTCCTAATCTGCAGTACATTTTCCCCCAGGCAGTCTGCTTTTTCCACTGCGCAGTTTTCTCTGTTTTTTTAAATTAGATGCAGTGCCTCAGCTGAAAAACTGTAGGAAACGGTCTGTTCAGAGGTTTTACTCACTCCTGGATATTCCTTGCTGCACTCCAACACGCTGTCGTATGATGGCACATGGGAAATCCAGCCTTTCAGTGCAGTTTTCCTCCTTTTGTTTTTCTCTCCATGATGCTGTTAAACCAGGACAACCCTGTGCTGGTTGCTTCCTGGGAGCCTCTAATACGTCATGATTGTAACCTGAAAGATTTGTTTTTTTGAAATTCCTTCGACAGCTCGTATACAGAGGAGTACGGAGACATACCATGGGATATTTTCTCCCTCTCTGTCTCAGTGGGGGGGCTTTCCTTGTGGAAACTCTGAGGGGTTTTGGTAGAAGCAGCTAGCAGTGACCACAGGCAGCTTTACTTCCCTCGCTTAGTGTTAAAGTATTTAAAATGATGGTTTGGGGAAAATCTTGGAGTCGAACATGAGCATCACGTCATCATTTGGGTTGTAGAGATCGGATATCTGCTCTGACTTTAGTTTCTGGCTGAGAGTAGCTGGGGGGGGGGGGGGGGGGGGGGGGCTTTTTTATTTTTTGTCAACAGTTACAGCACTCTCTACTAGCAGAGACTTGTCAGTCACTGATGAGATGTCTGCAGTTTTTCACATTACACAATTGTGGTAAAACTGGAGCTAATCCAAGATTTGGTTGTTGCATAAGAGAACTCTTTTGAGTAAAACAGTTTGAAGAAAACGTATGGAAGTAACCTGAGAATGAATTGGTTGCTTTGTTTATAAATATAATCCCCTAAGATAATATAGGTTAAATTAAAGGTTGTTTTGATTTTGATTCTGAACTACAGGCATAGAGGTTGCAGGTTCAAATCCTGCACATTGTTTTTATGTTGATTTAGCATTGGTTCCCTCCTGCTTCTTCTTAAAGCTCCAAAACAAGCATGGTAGGGGCATTTAGGTGTCTTATGTGTTTATTGGTCTTGCACTGTGTTGTCCAGATTATATTCGGTTGTCATAAATATCAAAGTATAATTAACAAACAGTACAATATTTCCAACTTTGTTATACTTTTATTTCTTGTTTAGTTATTATTCTATTCACTTTACCCAATTGCAGGTATTTCAGCAGAATTACTAACCTGCATGCCTTTATTTGTCATAAAAATATTGTTTATTTTGACTACATTAAATACTTCCATTGTTGTGATGCAGTCATTTGTTAGAAGAAGAATGTGATGCTTTTGCATCCACAAATCAGTTCCCTCCTTAAACATAGTTTTACCTTTTTATACTATTTATTAAGACGGTGCTACAGCGGTAAAAGTCAGAGAAAGGACCATATTGTTGCAGCTGACAGATTCAAGCCGAAGTCATTTCTAAAGTATGCAGGTAGCTGACATTGTCCCAACAAATGGTGTTGGTTTAAAGGAGCTATAAGTAATACAATTTACTTTAACAAAGCGCAGGGTTGTGTTTTAATCTTTTAGGTTTTAGTTTGAGGCTTAAATTCAGAAAAGCTTTTGATTTTCTTTCGTCTTGGAGCAGGAATGCTAGGTGTTTAAGTTCAAATCATTGCAAGCAGGGTTAGTTAAGGTGAACTGTTCAAAGCAAAATCATTTCTTGGTTCAGTTCAAAGATTATCCATATTATTACGAGGGTTGAAGCCTAAATGTATGTTGTTTAACTATCTTTTCCTGTCTGGACAGTAAATTACAGGGCTGCATAAACCTAAACCTGTGCTGGACGGTAGATGGTGATTTGACTTTGCTCTGTCCCATCGTAGCCCAGTGAGGAGTCCTGCTCACCAGAATAATCCTAAGACCTCTTTGTTTTGTTTCCTCCCCTCCAGAATAGTTCGTGATTATCTGAGTGGAGCTCCATTTTCTTCCTACCAGGAGTCCATGTACTTTTCTCGCTTCCTGCAGTGGAAATGGTTGGAAAGGTGAGTAGAGTCAGCAATTGCAGAGCTTCCAGCGTGATCTTGTACGTACAGATCATTTAGGCTGTTTTTGAGGGCTTCCTCCTAAAAACTGGCTGATAAGAGAATCAGTGAGCCATTTAAGTAGCAGCGGCAGTGAAGGTGGGGCTCCAAATCAGTCCGTCTGTGAGAGGTTAATAATTTATGCTTTGCATAATAGTCAGAGAAAAAGAACAGGATGGAAGCAGCAGTCATCAGGGTGGATTAATAATAAATGACCATCAATCTGTCTGCAACATCACATGGTCTGTCAGAGTGACATCAGCTGTTTTATTAATCCTTTTTTCCTCTCTCCTGCTATAACATTTCCTTTTGCTTTGTTTTATTCCTACAGACAACCTGTAACCAAAAATACCTTCAGACATTATAGAGTATTAGGAAAAGGTGGATTTGGCGAGGTAAGATCGGACATTGTGTTGTAGCTACCAGTGCATTTTATAGACAAATCCCCCTGATTGACACGAGTCTGCTTGTTTTCCCCAGGTTTGTGCCTGCCAAGTACGTGCCACCGGTAAGATGTACGCCTGTAAAAAGCTGGAAAAGAAACGTGTGAAGAAAAGAAAAGGTGAAGCAATGGCACTAAACGAAAAACGCATTTTAGAAAAAGTTAACAGTAGTTTTGTAGTAAGTACGACCTTTTTTTCTTATTCAACCTTTTCCCCAATTGCATCTGTTTTGCATGCATGCATGTGAGCGGTTTGTGGCTGCAGGATCCTGCAAATTAAATTCAATGATGGTTGCAAATCCTCCAGTAGCTGACCTTAAGTTAGAAGCGGCAGCTGGAGTTCTGCCTCAAAATATTGACTTTTATCTTTTTAAGGTAAATATTTGGACCACTTGTGTTGCTTGAATACATTAAATAAAATTGAATTTAAGTCTTTTATTTGGAGGAAAATGAGGCAAACATTAGAGATGTCAATTAATTTGCAGTATGCTGTCACTGCATTTTAGTATTTGCTTGACATGAGAAAACTTGTGTTATTGTGGGTTTAGTGTTATAAACGTTAAAAGTAAACAGATAGTTAAAACCACTTGTTTTCTCTGTGTTTGACATTAAATAAGAAGAAGGCTATGTTTCCACTTCAGGCAAATGTAACCCAAATCTGATCTATGTGCCCAACATGTGACTCATGTCCACCTTTTTTTAGGTAATTGGAACAGCCCACTGCCAATCTTTTGATTCAATCTTTGATTTAAGCCACTTCGATATTTGGTACCAAATAAAATGCAAATCTCTATAGTTTTAAAAGCATCTGCAGTCTGAGCGGCCATGTTTTAGGCAACTTTTCCGTTCATGGCCTTCAATACTCATCCAGACAGACTTCTACCCCACAGCAGCATCACCGATTGCTTTGCTTTGATTTAACTGTTGTTAAATGTGGGGCTGTATTTTTTAATACCTTCCTTCCTTTGTTGGTTTCTCAGGAGTTTATTAACAGAAAGTTTTGCTTTTTAAAGTTATTTTTCCGCCAACAAAGCTTTATTGAATCCTTCTAGTTGGCCTGCTTCCATAAACTGCTGTGTGGCGTCTGTATTTTTCTCCTGCACATCCGGGTGGCTTTCATGTCCTGATGTCCTCACATTTAATTAGCAGCATGAAACACTGTGCTACAAAGATTGGATTTTTATCAATCAATGGGAATTTAGTCTAAATATTTTCATTTCTAGGTTGGTCAGGCTTGATGCACCGACATTTATACTTTGTGCCACTTTCCCTTCCTGTTCAGGACAAACAGCAAGCTGACCACACCACACTAGATGAGGAAGTAGAAAATGCAGCCTTTCACAACTTTCAAAGGCTCTTCATGCCGTAATTTCTTTCCAGGAGTTTTTTCACAATCTGTTGATAGTGCTGACATTTACGAACCAAATTACAGTATGTCAGTAGGAAATTGTGTGGCACAGGCCTCACGGACCTCATAGACAGGTCACGTATATACCACCTAAAGAATGAGAGAGACACTATATACTTTAAATTTTTATTTTAGACTTAGACAACTTTTGTTGTCATTTTGTATACATACAGTGCATACAAAACGAAATTTCGTTTTGTACAGCTCTCAAGACATTTCCATTTTCTTAAAGTGCAGCAGTGATCAAATGTAAACATTGTAAGAGAAAAAACATTTATTTCATTTGTTTGGAGGATGCAAACACCTCTGCCTTTAAACAATTTGGGAACCTTATAGGGTTATAACTTTGAAGCCTCTGATAAGTCACTTTACACATGTAACCTTTGAAAAGTAGATTTGTTGATGTTTTTCAAAGCAGTACCTGAGGGATGTCGAACCAGCATGGGAATGTTTAGCCAACGTATGGTTCAGGAGACCGGCTCTGTGTCCAAGATAATTTTGGTTTGTTTCAGCCTCATGTGCGCCAAGTCACACCAAAGCTGATTGCTGGGAAAAGTCTTCACAGGGAGCTGCTGTATGCGACTAAGAGAATGACTTGTGTTACGTGCCCAGACCACAGTCAGCAGTGACATGCTGCTCTGAGCTGCCAGTTGCCAGAACATTCACCTCTAACCTAGAAGTGAATGTTTTGTTTTCTTTATAAGCAACTAATGACTTCTGCTATCAGATTCCAGAACATGGAGGAAGGCTGTTTGATTTTGCTGCAGTTGAGTGTTGCTTTCAGGGGTGCTTAACCTGGAGGTTACAGGTCTAGCGCCCCTAGTGGCTGAAAGTTACATAGGGATCCTTTGACCGTGCATCACAAATCCCTGATCTCCATCCTGTTGAAGTTGTCTGGTAGTTACAAATGTGACGGTGAACTATCCAGGGAAGCTTGTATAAGAAAATATATTTAACCCAAGTCAGGAAAGTTGCTGGCCGTTTCTTTCCAAATACGTAAACTTCTGAATTTAAAGCAAATATCCTCTCGCCTACTCTGGCTTTCAGATTTTTAAGGCTTAGTGACTTCAAAACAAGAGAAAAATTATTGTTACGTGCAAATTGTTTGGCATAAGTGTAGAAGCACATTGTTTCCCAGCATCAGGCTTTTATTTGTTCTTTTCCTGTGAATCCAGAGGAAGAAATGGAAATGCTGAAAATGTTCTGCAGCTTGTCCATATCGGCTCTCAAGCTCAACTATAAAACCAGGAATGTGTGTCTCTCTTTCCGTCTGCTTTGAGTTTTCACACAAACATACGTTGGTGCAGGAGAAGAGGGTGTACTTCAGTGGAGATTTACTTCCTTTAAATAAATCAACGAACGTTAGAAGTTCAACATATTTATAATTCCTTTAAATCCCAGACCAGCTGGGAGAACACACTACTCTCAGGTCAGTGCGTGGTGCTCTTTGCTTAGCAATGGCGCCAACATTTTGTGGAAATTTGCTTTGTTTTTTCGCTAGAAAAATTTAAGATTTGGGTGTGAATTGTTTTTTTTTTAATAAGGATGAAGGTTGTTGTGATGATTTTATAGCCTCCTGTATGAATCCGTAGACTGTGCTGACCAGATATTGATGAGCTTCATAGGACCCTGGACCGCGTTGAGCCACAGTCCTGCTCATGCTTTCTACTTGAAGCTAGCGGCGGTGTCCGGATAGTGTTGGATTAGTCAGTTTCTGATGCAGCGTGAGTTATTATGCGCGCCCTTGATTTCTGTGAGTCACGGCAGAGGCATGTTCACACGCACATAGAGGTTGGAGTGGGCATGTTGCCGAACCTCAGACTCCCAATTCCTGTCACCTGGTATTGGCACATGTTTTTTATATATATATATATATATGCTTATGTGTTGGTAGTCAGTGCTGCAGGCAGAACGGATGACTCTTCATGTGCCTCTCTACCTAATAGAGCAGCACTGTTGCCTGGAAACGCTGACCAAACAGCAGCAGCGAGGAGAAGAGTCAAGTGCTCTCTCCATGTCCTCATTCCTGGCTCTCAGTATTGTTCTTTACCTTTTTGCGATTGGTGCATACTATTAGTCCATGCATACCATTAGCTCGCTGCATGTTTGAAGCACTGAGCCATCCGTGTTGTGTTGGTGTGGGAGGAATGAGCCAAAGGGGTGCCTCTGCTCTGAAGGCTCTTGCAGACGAAGCGAGGTAGAGCTACCACACTGTAGGGCAGTTTTTTTTATTAGTTTCTCTTTCCTTCAATATCCATATTAGTGTTTATTAAAGTCGCTTGTAATGCAGACGGAAAGGTTAAGGAAATGAAGGCTTATAAGAGTTGTATTTGAACTGATACAGTAAAAGTGATTGTTTAATTTTATGTTGATTGTTATGGATGTCTGTGCTGGTCTTAAAGCAGGTCAGATATGATCTGATTCATTTTTGCTCCTACAGATTTACCTTTTCAGTAGTCACAGAGATCTAACCTCCTTTTTTCTGCCAAGTTGATGCCAAGGAACAAGACTATGATTATTTTTCTATGAAACACTCCTAATCCTGGATGTGTTTTGCATATTTGTGTTTGTTTAAATGATAGAACGTATATTTACTCGGGTTGTTTGTTGCTCATTTGGCCCACAGGAGCATTTTCCTTCCCCCCTGTTTTTTTTTCTTTCTGCATGCTCTGCAGCAGATGGGAATCCTTCCTGATGGCAGCAACATTGTACACAACTGCACATCCGCACGGCGTAAGGGGGTGATTAATGACGGGATGAGAGCAACAGCATGGATTTTCCATCGCTGGCATATTTCTGTTTTGGGTTCTTTGTGTACATTCCTGAAAATCCATTTGGGATAACTGATGATCGTTTGGGGGGTTATAATAGTTTGATAGTTGGGCTCCAGTCTCCCTGTGGGCTACCGCTTCACTCCCCTTATCCTCTGACCCCTCCCCTCTTTTCCTCCCGGCATGTCTCTCCTCCAGGTTTGTTACCACCTCTGTAAATGTGTCCTCTTTTTCTCCCCCAGGTTAGTCTAGCTTACGCCTATGAGACAAAGGATGCGCTGTGCCTGGTCTTAACCTTAATGAATGGTGGTGACTTGAAATTCCACATTTATAACATGGGAAATTCTGGCTTTGACGAGCAAAGAGCCATTTTCTACGCTGCTGAGATCTGCTGTGGCCTTGAGGATCTGCACCGTGAGAGGATAGTCTACAGGTGAGCACTCAGTGTGTGTGTTTATCCGCATGGTGCTTTACTTACTGGAGCTTGAGAGTGTTTCCTGGGATGTTCTGTGTTTCAAAGAAAGGTATTCAGTCAAACATGAGCATAAAGAACATAAATTATGTGCAGACTCCATGCAGGCATAATAAAGCTAAATCATAATAAAGCTAAATCAGTGAGACCTCGGTTAGATGGGAACATAAATGCAGGTGCTTATAGAAGAAAAACACAGCCCTAACTGCAGAAACATGTTCATTGATCTCTAAATGTGTTGGAGGAAATGGCAGGCTCTGGGGTTTCAGTTTGACGTCCTTTAGAGACCCCTTTCCCACTGGCGGAAAACCTGTTTAAACCCAGGAACAGTCGGCTTTTAGTTGCAGTGTAAACAGCTCACTGACGCGTATCTAACCGGGTCAAACGACTCGGCAAGCGACCCAGGTTAAAAATCGCCTTGGCTCTGATTGGCAAGCTGTGGGAACACAAGAGTCGGGTTGACTCGCAAATTTATGTGGTACCATTTTGTGTTACAGATGTCAACACACCGTTCCAATTGAGTCTGATCTAACAAGCCGAAACAACTTTGTTTACATTCGATAAAAATGCTGCAGCAGTAGTAAGAGAGATTTAGATAGATAATAGTGCAAAACGTTAAAGCACGTTTACTATGCCCTGGCTTCCTTACATGTTGCTCTCCATTGTTTACTGTCCTGAATTGGGTCCCACTGGTGACATCAATGCTAACCCAGCGTGATGGTGTCGCCAGACATGCAGCGGCGGGGAGACATAGGGTACCCAGCTTGCCAGCGAATGCTTAGACCCAGCATTTTTTGCCAGTGGGAAGGGAGCCAAAGGCCTATTGTTAGCTGGTCGACCCATGTTTGAAAAATATGCCTAAATGCAGTATTTTCAAGCCGGTTTCTGATCCCTGGTTTGGTTTGATCATAGCAGATTTATTTTTAGGATATATCACAGATTGTGTTAAAAATACTTCCTTAAACAGGCTGTTAATTATGTAAATCAGAACAGAAGCAAAGCCTGAATACTGAGTGAGAGAGCAAGCATGGTAAAGAAGGGTTTAATAAACTCAAAACTAGGGTTGTCAAAAGTATCGATACTCAAAAAAGTATCTATACTGAAACGTTGTATCTGGATACAATACTCATTTTCAAAAGTATCGATACAGTGCTACAACCTTTGGCACCTAAACAGTCATTAATCATAAGTGCAGAATAGAGAAAAATGCACTTTCTAAACACTATGATTTAATAATTCTGTGCAATTTTCAGTTTCAAATTTTTTTTTGTAACAGGTGCAGCTGCTGAGAATTATTTTTGTTTCTTAACCGGTTTGGCTAGTGTCATTATGTGTGCAAAGCATAGCCAAGGAAGGAAAACTTAATTTTAATTTTGTAAGTTTTTTATCAATATTGCTTAATATTGTGCACAGCATACAACCTCAAAATATTGTTCTTATTGTTTATTGTATTTATTTATTGTATTTTAATTATTAATCAAAATATTTCTGTTGAATTTTGGAGTCTTTGTTTTTATCCTTGTGATATCGAAAATGGTATCGAGTATCGAATATTTTCCTTAGTATCGGTATCGAGTTGAAAAGTTTAGTATCGTGACAACCCTACTCAAAACAGGCAAAATTATGTGCAGTTGAAGTTGTCCTTAGTAATGACATTAGCAGTTAACATGGTTTGCTTTGTTAGGGTTGATATGACCTTCAGTCTCCTTGGTGTATCCTTGAAGGATGAAGACACAAAGGTGTTTTAAATCTGGACCTTGAGGAAAGTCTTGCTTTTGTTTTAGAAGCCAGATTTAAAGCTACATGACTTTAAACATTTACCTTTTCTGCTCCCTCTCAGCCAATTCAGTTTTGTTGCATATAGTATTAATGCTTTATTGTCCCCAAGTGGCATATTTCCCATTCAACAAATGAACGTAGGAACGGTTCATTTGTTGAATGGAAATTTCTGACTGGCTGAAAAATCCTCCTATTTGAGTCAACAGGGGGTTTCTTTGTGCATCTCAGAAAGCACTGCTTTGAATTTTAATTCTTGGACAGCCATTAGAGTTTCTAAAAAAAAATAAAATAAATGAATTGTAATTTGAATAGAATTTTGAGCAGAAGATTTTTATCGCAACAAATGTTACTACAGAAAAAGGTGAGATATCACTTTGTACACTGTAGGGTAGATTTCCCAAACATCTCCCTCCGCTCTCAATCGGCTCCTCTGTTGAAGATCAAAGCTGTATTTATAGTGCGTTATTTCATCCCTCTTCTTGTTATGCTTTTACTCTTTTGAGAAGTTGTCTTTGTCACTAATTTTAGAAGCAGTTTGTAATTTGTTCTGCTTTTTGCAGAGATTTGAAGCCAGAAAACATCCTTCTGGATGATCGTGGTATGTGTGTTTTTTTCTTTAGTTCCTACCTAATTGATTTTCAGTACAGAATGTGCTTCTTCTTGTCCTTCATTTTTCATTTTTGAAATTTTGCCTACAATGTCCAAATCAAACAAGCTGCACAGTGTAGCTCCCTGTTTTCATTGGCTGCAGAGGCACTGTTTTAAGCTTGCTTAACTCTCCCCTTTCAGTCATTCCTACATCTTCATTAATTTACTCACATCCGTCTTGATGTAAGAAAATATCCACCTTTCTTTCAACCTTATTTTCCCACAACATATTTCATGCCTGATTGGAACCTGAGCGCGTGCATGTTTCTGCAGAAATTATGATCCGTTTCTGTTGAATTCCTGCCATTGAAATGATTCACATGGGATAATGGCTTTATTGCTTTTGCTCAGGGCACATTCGGATCTCCGATTTGGGCCTTGCTGTTCAAATCCCTGAGGGGGAGACGATACGAGGGAGAGTGGGCACAGTTGGATACATGGGTAAGATCACCTCCTTTCATCTCTTCTCTCCTTTTTTTTAGACATTCTGTGAATCACACCTTGAAATAATCTTTACTGCCGGTCCACTCTTTAGCTCCTGAGGTGATCCAGAACGAGAGCTACAACTTCAGCCCGGACTGGTGGGGACTAGGCTGTCTGATTTTTGAGATGATCCAGGGCCAGTCGCCCTTCCGGAGACGCAAGGAGCGGGTCAAGCGGGAGGAGGTGGACAGACGAGTGCGCGAGGACCAGGAGGAGTACTCGGATAAGTTCTCGGAGCAGGCGAAGGACATCTGCAGGCAGGTGAGGATGAAGAAACTGAAAGGTTGTGAGAATAGGACAGAAGTAAGGCACCGGTAGCAACCAGAGAGCTAAAAAAAACTGAATGATCTCAAGAGGGGGGGAGAGCTGACATATCAACTTTATGAATATTTGCTTTGCAAAAATCCCTTTTTTCTTTTAGGAGAAATGAAGTGGTGCTAAAGTTTGCATAAATTACTGACCAAACTCTATTATAAAAAAAAAAAATCACTTTAACAGTCAGAGACAAAGGGCTGTTTACTGTTGCTATTTTTTTCTTTGACTTTATATGGTTGTGTTATTTTACAATTTTTAAGAGGGAGCCATTCAGCCTGTGTTTCTATGAGCGGTGGGGCTAATGGGACATTTTTTAACATAGTGGAACATTTTGACCCATGGTTCAGCATTTTTAAAGTCTCCCCAGTGAGAGAAGTTAGACAGGCAGAGGGGAGAAAGGTCTCTAACAAGAAATGGGTAGAAGATAAGTATGGAAAAGGAGAGGGAGGGGTACCAGACGCCACAGGGATGGTGACTTCTGCACTCAGAGATAGAGGAGTCAGCTGAGGAGGCTAGAGCAGTGCTCCCCAACCATAGATATCCATAATAAAGGCTAGATGTCTCATCCGCGCTGCTGGCCAATGGGGGTCGACGTCCGCACGTGGCGGCCATCTTGCCACAGGCAGCTCGCTCATTCGTAACATTGTGTTTTAAAGGCGCATGTACTTAAATAACCATAACTTCCTCAATTGTTTAACGATTCTCAAACTGTTTGGTTTGTTAAACAAAAGTCAGACATGTAGATATGACACTGCACACTTATGAATAATTATAACCATGGAATTTCATACGAAAAGAACATTGAATAGAACATACAGGTGCAATAAATATACACATGCACAAGGTATTTATGTTAAATCAATATATGCTATTAAAACTCAGTGTACTGAATGGCAACATGATATATATATATATATATATATATATATATATATATATATATATATATATATATATATATATATATATATATATATATATATAAATACTTTTATTTTGGGTGTGATTAATTATTTCACAGTCCTAATTTATTTATATTTACATACATACTTTATAATATGAATATTATTGTTATAATAAAATATGAAATGCTGACAAAAAAGGCTTATTGTGTGGCAACCTGTTGGTGTAGAAGCATAATCCAGGTTTCAAATTAAAGGTAACACAGTTTCATGTAGACTATTTGGATTATATATCAGGGGTAATTACACAAAAGTTCCTATTTTTAAACCATTATAAAAGTGACATTTATTTGCAATTAAAATTGGTACAATAGTCCCCTTCACAAGTATATATAGATGTAGCATGTTGAAATCCCCACCTACACTACTGTGATGGTATACACATGGAAGACAGAGATTTAAAAAATAACCCAAAAAACATAGCTTGGCTAATGCCCTTCCAAAAGGAAGGTTTTATTGAGCTTCTGTATAATGTACAAGAGACCGTTGTCCACAAGTCCATCAAAGCGGACAGGAAGGTAGCTGTGGTCATGTACTAGTGCAGGAATGTCAGCAAACAGGGATGGAAGATCTTCTTCTCCTGCTTACACATTATATAACCTGCAGAAACAAAAACAAAAGTGACCAACAACAATGCACGGTGTATAAGATTGGTATATCAATATGTGATTAAATTTCAATGATACACATGCCCTTTGATGATGAGCTGGAAAGTTGAAAATGTTTGGCACAACGCCATCTCTAAGTTGTCCAAATGAAACTAATAAAAACTTATAAAAGCTTTGAGTCAACAACAATTATGTAATACTATTATGTCATAGCAAAAGTCTGGCATATTCCTTTGAATAAACCCAGCAAATTCATTACATAATGTAAGATGTGTTGACAAACCAAATCGATTGGAAATCATGTTAATTCTGCCTCTTCCACTGATGTAAAGCTGCTGGTTAATGTTAGCAGCTAGCTAAACTGTAACTTTAGCTGCTAACTTACTAACGTTAAGTCTCACTTCGCAGCTTCTTGTTATTAGCCAGCTAACGTTAGGCTAATAATGAAAATACAACAACACTCAGATTATTGTTATTAGCCAACTAATAACTACAACCACATCCACAAAGATTGTAATTTACACCAAAGATTAATTGTCATACAATCGTTATTGGTGTCAGTAAAACCTATATAATGACTAATAGTCTCAGCCTTGATAACTTGCGCAAGTAGCCGTGATTCACAACTATGCTGCGCGATTAAGTCATTTTTCGACAAGAAAATCTGCAATTTCGACATGTTCAAGCATCAAGAAAAATAGCCACGTTCATAATGTTTGTAAGAAACCAAACTGTTTGTAAATCCGTCAAAAATTCAGTGAGGTAAGAGTATTTGAGTTCGTGCTGATCACTCACCTTACATTAGGTACCACAGAGCACACCAGAAAGCCTGCCTGAGGCAAGATGGCCGCCGGTGATGACGTTTGAGACTCCGCCGTAAGACATCTAGCCTTTATTATAGATATCTATGTCCCCAACCAGGAGTAATCGTACCCCTAGTGGTCCACGCATGCATTCCAAGGGGTACATGAAATAATTTTATTTCAGGTGTCTTAATGAAAACAGAGTAAAACTAATAAACTCAGTCTGACTATAATGCATGTTCTTTATTTTATTCCCAATTCATCAAGTTTAAATGTTAGTACTCAGGGGAGCTCCAGTTTTATAAACATGTTTATGATCGGATTTTATTTTGTATTCATTTTGATTCCTCATTAACTTCCAGGCAACATATTTATTTATTTTTTTTATTTGACATGGAAAGTATAAAATTATAAAATAAAATAAAAAAGTATTAATTTCTGACAGGGGAATTTTATACATTTTTATAAAAAACATAAAATAGGATAAAAGACAAAAAATTTGATTAAGAAATAAAAATAAAAAAAACTCCGTCCTTGAAGATTCAGTAAACTGTCGAATAGTCAAAAATACCTTCTTTATCTCTCAGTTCTGCTTCTCACAGAGTCAGTGTGAAAATTGTCCTTATTTCAGTTATTGTACATTCTACTTTAGGACAATCATCAATACTTTTGACTGAGAGGGGAACTCTTGGTACAAAAAAAAATCAAAAAGGTACACACAGTAGTGGAGTACCTTAAAAAGAAGGGGATGGGTTTTTTATTAGTATAAATAGCAAATTGAAACAGCTGAAATAATCAAAATCTGAAAAAACTGCTTGCAAATTCAAATACTTAGCCTGAAAATGAAATAGGCCTGTGTAAAATCTAATAATTTTACTCTCCTTTACAATATTCCTTTAGAGCAGGGGTGTCAAAGTGGTTCCAGAAAGGGCCATGTGGCTGCAGGTTTTCATTCCAACCAAGCAATAGCACACCAGCCTCCAGTCATCTCATCAACTAAGTTTAGTATTAACCTGATGAATTGACGATTGACTGGAGGCTGGTGTGCTATTGCTTGGTTGGTAAGAAAACCTGCAGCCACACGGCCCTTTCTGGAACCAGTTTGACACCTGTGATTTAGAGTATTTATTTTATAAAATAGACCGTTTTTTTAGAACAGGTCTGCGGAACTATATTGACCGTTGATCGGATGACGGGTATTCTGCAAGTCACATAGGGACCTTTATGACCACTGGCCAGATATTAACATCACATTTGACAGATTTAGCAGAATTAAAATAATAATCTTAACACGTGTCTTAAATTGCTTAATTAAAATGCACTTTTAAAACCTTTGATTCTCTCCTCCGGGTTTTATCTGTTGTGCCCAGAATTAAGCGCGCATCGCCCTAAACTCGCGCCCATTGATGAGATGGATTGAAATATGAATAAAAAGGGAAATTTTAAACATATTCTTAATGTTGTATTGAGACACGTTTCAGTCGATGTGCTTCAGTCGGTGTGCGATGAATAAATTCTCTGCTCAGTGGATGCCAATTCCCCATTTTCCTATCAACACCATTCTAGATAATTTTTGACACTTTATTTATTGAACTTAGAACCTGCTGAAGATTCCCTCCCCTCCTTATTTTCACATTCCCTCAAACCTGTTCAGAACACCGTCACCTGCTCCACTGGTTGCGCCACTGAGGTTGAAAATGAATCGCGTGTGCCCTCTGGGCCACCGTACCTTTGTCAGGCTACTCGTAAGCAAACAGCCTGCCAGATGTTAAAAGGGCAATATTATTGCCATTACTGTTAATATATAGTAGAAATGTACACATTCAGTAATAAAATGTCACAGGGGATGGTATGGGGGGATGGTGTTTAAGAAGGGGGATGATTTATGTATTTATTTTATTATTTTTGTTTTTTGTTTTTATGGCACTAGTGGGTTGTTTTTTTCAACAGTAGGCTGGTATGGGAGAGAGGGAGAGACATGTGAGAAAGGACCAAGGGTACATGGGTCGTGTGTGCTAACCGCTGCGCCGCCTGCACGCCCAGGGCGATGATTTTAACGATTTTAACGATAAGTACTGGGTACACAAGTCAAAAAAAGGTTGGGAAACACTGGGCTAGACGAATCTGCTCTTAAACTTGGTGTTGTTTGGCCAGTAGACCTAAAGATGGAAATAATCTGATATTATTCTGGTGAATTCTTGATTAATTAGATGACAAGCTGGGCTTTATCAATATAAACTTGGGATTGATTAGAACTAATAAACTAAATCAATAATGAAACTGTTGGATTGGCACCTTAGAGCGTGGCCTTGTGTTATCTGCACTACAAAAGGGAATGCACCCATAATATGTCACTTTCTGTGTTTTAATTTTTATCTTCGACGAAAGAAAAACACTTTCTAACATTTTCCTTATTACCCCCCCCCCCCCCCGCCCCCCCCAAAAAAGAAAAAAACAACAGGAAGCCGGGCAATATCTCATTTGCCCCACCCTCCCTAAGATCTTTTGAAGGTTCAGTTATTTGAATCTTTTTTTTCTTTCTTCCTCCTGCTGGGTTTCAGCTCCTGGTCAAGGACCCCAAGGAGCGGCTGGGTTGTCGGGGTTGTGGGGCCACGGAGGTCAAGCAGCACCCCATCTTCAGAAGCATCAACTTCAAACGGCTGGAGGCCAACATGCTGGACCCTCCCTTCATACCAGATGTAAGAGCGATGGACGCACACATGACATACACTATATTGCCAAAAGTATTTGCTCACCTGCCTTGACTCACATATGAGCTTAAGTGACATCCCGTTCCTAATCCATAGGGTTCAATATGACGTCGGTCCACCCTTTGCAGCTAGAACAGCTTCAACTCTTCTGGGAAGGCTGTCCACAAGGTTTAGGAGTGTGTTTATGTGAATTTTTGACCATTCTTCCAGAAGCGCATTTGTGAGGTCGCACACTGATGTTGGACGAGAAGGCCTGGCTCTCAGTCTCCGCTCTAATTCATCCCAAAGGTGTTCTATCGGGTTGAGGTCAGGACTCTGTGCAGGCCAGTCAAGTTCATCCACACCAGACTCTGTCATCCATGTCTTTATGGACCTTGCTTTGTGCACTGGTGCACAGTCATGTTGGAAGAGGAAGGGGCCAGCTCCAAACTGTTCCCACAAAGTTGGGAGCATGGAATTGTCCAAAATGTCTTGGTATGCTGAAGCATTCAGAGTTCCTTTCACTGGAACTAAGGGGCCAAGCCCAGCTCCTGAAAAACAACCCCACACCATAATCCCCCCTCCAACAAACTTTACACTTGGCACAATGCAGTCAGACAAGTACCGTTCTCCTGGCAACCGCCAAACCCAGACCCATCCATCAGATTGCCAGATGGAGAAGCGCGATTCGTCACTCCAGAGAACGCGTCTCCACTGCTCTAGAGTCCAGTGGCGGCGTGCTTTACACCACCGCATCCGACGCTTTGCATTGCACTTGGTGATGTATGGCTTGGATGCAGCTGCTCGACCATGGAAACCCATTCCATGAAGCTCTCTGCGCACTGTTCTTGAGCTAATCTGAAGGCCACATGAAGTTTGGAGGTCTGTAGTGATTGACTCTGCAGAAAGTTGGCGACCTCTTCGCACTATGCGCGTCAGCATCCGCTGACCCCGCTCCGTCAGTTTACGTGGCCTACCACTTCGTGGCTGAGTTGCTGTCGTTCCCAAACACTTCCATTTTCTTATAATACAGCTGACAGTTGACTGTGGAATATTTAGGAGCGAGGAAATTTCACGACTGGATTTGTTGCACAGGTGGCATCCTATCACAGTTCCACGCTGGAATTCACTGAGCTCCTGAGAGCGACCCATTCTTTCACAAATGTTTGTAAAAACAGTCTGCATGCCTAGGTGCTTGAATTTATACACCTGTGGCCATGGAAGTGATTGGAACACCTGATTCCAATAATTTGGATGGGTGAGCAAATACTTTTGGCAATATAGTGTATGAGGCGCAGTCCCTATGCAGGAAATGCCATTGTCAGGAGGAAATGAGTTTATCATGGCAGACCGTGGCTGTGGTGTAATTTTAGTTTAACAGCTCGGTTTATATGAAATCCTCAGTAATCAGAGCAGTAGAGCTTTTTTGTTGTTGTTGAAATCTAGAATGTTGCTCTCTTTTTGATATGGATGGATCAAAACATTGTGTGCAGTGGCTTTGATTGGAAAAATGTTGCCTCTGTCAACTGATAAAAGCATGTTTCAATTTAAAGGCTTGCCACAGATTCTGAATTGGATTTAGGTCTGAACTTTAACTAGGCCATTCCAATAAATGGGTGTGATCTGCTTCATCCAGGGTATTTTCTCCTGTCTCTGCTGAAGAGCATCCCCACAGCATAATGCTGCCACCACTACGTTCTTAATGGAGGTCGGCATAACTAGTTGATATTTAGGTTGTTGCTGGTAGTTTTCCATCACACACAACTTTAGATTTTTGTCTCATCTAGCAAGGACAGCTCCCCAAACGTTTGCTGTCTCACATAGCTTGTGGTAAACAGATATCTTATGGTTTAGCTTTTACTTGTTACTTAAATGATCAAAAGATTTTAAAGATTGTGTAGTTCCTGGTCTCTTATGTCCTTTTCTCCTCCTGATGTCTCTCTGTCTCCCTCTCAGCCTCGAGCCGTCTACTGTAAAGACGTTCTGGACATCGAGCAGTTCTCTACTGTCAAAGGAGTGAACCTTGACCCTACCGACGATGACTTCTACTCTAAGTTTGTCACAGGCAGTGTCTCCATCCCGTGGCAGAACGAGGTACTGCACACTAAAGTGACGTCATTATCCAAGTTCCCCAGTAATGACCTCACACAGGAATGTCTGGTAGCTGCAGAACACCGAGTAATACCCGGAGTGGGGAAGTAAAGCCCATCTTTACAGATATGTTGAGGAGTTTGTTATCTTTGCTTCCAGATGATTGAGATGGAGTGCTTCAAAGAAATCAACATCTATGAGACCGACGGGATGCTGTGCTCAGACCTGGACGTGAATCGGCCCAACCCTCCTCCGAAGCGGGGGTTCTTCTACCGCCTGTTCAGAAGAGAGGCAAGTGCTAGTGCTCCGGCAACTGTCCGAGGGGGTGGGGGCTAAGGTACTTCCTCTTTTCCTGCTTTCTGGCTTCCTTTTTTTCCCAATCCCACAGGCGTTGTCCAAACTCAGCATGTGAAAGGACATTGCTTCACATGGAATCTGAGGGGTTTGTTAATACATTCCTGTGAGTTTGTAAGAAAAAGGCTTAGTCACTTTTCTTAGTAATTGTCTCTGGGGTTTCTAGATGCTACTTTAGATGCTTTCTAGTATTTCTAGCTTTATCACTCTGCTGGGAACTAGACCAGTAGAATACATGTTTAGAATGATGACTCTTGTTTTTCAGTGATCAACTGCTGCCTTGCCAAGTAATCAAACCCTAATAACCTTTTCACATTGTGTCACATTGAAAGAAAAAACTTTAGTAAACTTTGCTCTTATTTTTTTCACTGTGAAATGAAAGGAAAATAACTATACTTTATAACTATACTTTTTCAGCCATCTTTACTCTGATATCCCTAAATAAAATGCAGCAAATCCAACTCCCTTCACCTAACTAGTAAACAGAGTTCAGATGTGTGTAACTTAACCTTATGAGCAGAGGTTCCCCAAATGTTCAGCTTCTGACCTGCAAACTCCTAAAGAAGTCAACTCTAGATCCAAACTATTAGTGTAAAAATATTTCTACAAAACCAATTAACATCAGGTGTAAAAATATTAGAGGCAAAACCACCAAAAGTAGTTGGTTTATCCTTTTATCAATGATAATTCTGTATTTTTTTTTTAAATATCAATGTGTTAAAGAACATTGGTCAACAAATGGCAACAAGGAGACGGAGGAACACAGCAGAAAGGTCAAGGTTGAAGTTATACAGAGGTTTAAAGATTACGGCACAATTGTAAACCTACCAATAGTCCAAACTGACAGGAAGAGCAAAAGACTAAGAGGTGGGACCCATGCAGATGTGGAAAAGGTTATGTGCCTACGATAGTATAGCAGAAACTAGATCTCGACGATGAACGGTGATGGCAGCTTCATTCTGTGGAGTTGTTGTTCTATAGCAAATGCTGTTGTGGGAGGATTACCTTCAAGCATTACACGGCCCATATTTATATATATGTTTATAGCCAGAGCTAAACTAGTCTAGAGCAAAGCATAAGGGTAAGAGTGACCCCATGTACACATTATGGATCGAACTTTGAGTTCTACCTTTACAGATGCTTTCCATCCTATTTGACTGAACTTGAGCCATATAGCTGAGAAGAAGACTGGGCTGAAATATCAGTCTGTAGATGGAAAAAGTAGACACACATTGTAGATTCATTTTTCAGTTTTTATTTGTAGAAACTTTGAAAACAATGTATTATTTCTTTTCCCTCCACAATCATCTAATTCCATGTTGGTCTGTCAATTCAGTTCAGTTTATTTTTATAGCACCAATTCACAACACGCTTCATCTCAAGGCACTTTACAACTCAACCAGATCATACAGGTCAGATTAGTTCAAAGTTTTCTATCTAAGGAAAAACCAGTTGATTGCATCGACTCATTTGAATGCAATCCTTCACACCAAGCATGCTCGTAGCAACAGTGGAGAGGAAAAACTCCCTTTTAACAGCAGAGCCAGGCTCAGTGTGAGCAGCCATCTGCTAAGGAAGACTGGGGTTGAAGGAGACAGAAGCAGACATACCCCCACCCCCATACAGGGGACCAGAACATCTCACCTGTTCAGCCAAGCCAACAATTCCCCCTTACAACCCCTCTTTCAGAGACATAGACCAGTATCGGGCATTACGGGCTATCAAAGAACCCAAATGACTGCCCATTCCTAAGGGACGGACCCATTGGTCCGGTTCAGTTTGCATGTTTTCTGAGCCAAAACAAGGCTTTGTTTTTGGTCCACTATATAAAGCCTTGAACTCAACGCTTTTTCTGATAATTGGAATTGAAAAAGATTGGGAAGCGAAATGTCTTCAAATTTGGAAACAAAGTCCAGTGTTTTTTTTTTGGTTGTTGTTTTTTTTTTTTTTTTGGGAAGCAGGCATATAGAAAGAAGCACATAAGATTATAAAAAAATGACAAAATGACAACATGACAAATGGGGACATTGTTTAAGGTGAATGAAGAATTTTGCTAAGAAAATACTTTTATTAAGTTTTGCCTTCTTTTCTAAACTAATGAATCATCTCTGACTCCCTTCCTCCTGTTTATTAACACCTAAGGGTTTGCCTTATGGTTTCCTCTCTGTTGTTCAAAATGTCAGTGCGAATTCTTTTTCTACATCCTTTTAAGCAACACTTTATCCTTTCTATAAAACAATCCCATTACTTGCTCTTTGTATGGAGTTTGGATGGAAACCTTGTTTCATAGGAAACTAGCAATCATCTCCCGTCCATGTTCGAGTTTGGTGATAAAACTGTTAGTCACGGTGCATGGTGGGCTTGTTTTTGGCTGTTCCCAGGTCTGTCTAAAGAGCGGTTACAGTGACGAAGAGACTGAAGAGCCCTCACGACTTTAAACCACTCCGTCCCCTTCGCCCACGCCCCTCTGCCGCAGAGCTTCACCACAACCTCCAACCGAGCGCGAGAATCTTAGGAACTCAGTGAATGTCAACCTGTATTTATGAGCTGTATTAAAAGTGTATTATAGCTAAAGAAAAAAAAAAGTATGACTTTAAAGATTTTGTACATTTGTACTTGAATTTATGTCTAGATGTATATTTTCACTAAAGGTTGTATTGTACAAAAAGCCATAAAAGTACCACTTGAATGCATACATTGCCTTTTTATTTTCTTTTGATTTTATGGATAATGTTCATTAGGTGTGTATTGTTTTTTTTTTTGTTTTTTTTCTGAAGAACAGAACCATTAGTCTTTTTATTTTTCACAATGTAGCATAAGGCCTTTTTTTAATGTACTGTGCTGTATGTTTGCCATTAACTTGGATTTCTTTTTAGCGCATTAGCTCCACTTTTTTAACTAAGCTAACTCTTAGCCGCTATGAATTGATCTCAATCTAAACCCAAGAATTAGAGTTGGAACGGAATCTAGTTTCTTTTTTATTTTTTCACCATTAAAGCCCCGATCCTTGATCTGTTTTGCAAAGAGCCGTGGGTCATTTGAAAACATGGGAACTAGATGGACATGTGCAGCACCGTGCCCGGGTGTCTCAGACTCAGCTTGTATTTACTGTATGTGTTTATGTCTGGAAATCTGCGCATCAATGAAACGCAGAGCAAACGCCTAATTCCACAAACTCTTAAAAATCATAGTTTTTGTGACTCACATGCCTTTTTAACAGGAATACACCTGCTAGTTACATATCTGTTACTTTGTTTTTTTCTCCACGCTGACATTTTTTTTGCCCCCTCCCCTTTTTATTTAAATTCTAACTTTTCTCATCCTTTTCTTTTCAAATGAATCAAAGTGGAAACACTTTTCATAGAAATCTTAGTAATTTGCTGCCCTTTAGTTTTGGAATACCAGAAAGCCTCCAAGTTTAATTTGTAAAAACCTTAAAGAAAACGTGTTTAGGTTTGCTGCTAGTTTCATTTATAGCTCAAAGAAAGATTTTGATTAAAAGTATTTTTGATTTTTTGACGTCTTTGATTCATACTGTAAGTCAGTGCTTTAAGTGTTAGTGAATAAGCCTTTTGCTCGTTGTTGATAGCACAATACTTTACATTTGCTGCATATCACTCAAGACTGTTTGTAACGAAGATATCATCATTTAAGTGAACTAATTCCAAGTTAAACAGTTCTTCCCTTATCATGTGCTTCTCAACCGAGGGATATAATAAGTGTTAAAATATTTTTCTCATTAAATCTACTTCTAATGGGGCTATATTAAAATTCACAATTATGATGCATGGATCGCATAGATAGTATTCTGAATCCAACTCTAAATTTTTTGCACTCTGATGGTCACTGATTTCTGAAGATGAATTCATGTTGAATCAGAAGCTTTGGCTCTCTGTCCTGCAGAGAACTGCAGCCTTCAGAATTTCTTTTTAGGTGCTTTTTCTGCATAGATTCTTTTTATGTTATATAAAGGCTCGCGGGGAAATATGCTGAAATATGGTCCTTGACCACAATTTCTCCCAATTCAACCATCTCAATTGTTGCATTTTTAAGGTGAGTGCTAATGTTAGTTCCATCTCATCAGACTCCTTTCTCCTGAAATTGCAGTTTAACTGCAAACTTTCTTCAGCAGTAGAGTCTGACAGAGAGCGTGTTGTCGAGTTTAGTACCTATTGTTTGAGTGGAAAATCTTCCTGATTATTCCAGGTTTATCAGAAGCTCTCAGCCAGGGATTCTTGTTTTTGGAAAACTTCAGATCTTTGTCAGAATTCTTGCAAAGAGAACCTGTTTTAGTGAAATATTGATCCCCCCTCTTCTGGAAATTGGGCCGACGCATTATTCATTGAAAGGTTTGAAAGTCTGGGTGTTTTGCAAAGCACTCATCGTGCTCTTTTATTTAAACCTTAATTAACCGTTTGTGCAAAACAGTCATGAAAAATCTAAACCACCTGATATTATTTTGCAGGATTTCTTTCTTCATTTTCTGATTTGATTGATATATGTTTAAATTATTTGACTTGCTACCAGACTCTAACAATGCGATTAACCCCATTAGAAATGGATTTACTAGATCAATAATTTGGACTTTATTCCTCCCCCTTCATTTGATCTCCCTCTCTTCAGAAAAACATCTGTTTTAATGCTGTGAATACCCTCACCTCAACATGATGGCTGCACGCATGTGTATATTTCACAGTTCTCTAATGCAGCTTTGCTCAACTTTGTGAATTAGACTTCATTAGCTCTACTTCTGTACAGCTCAGCAACTTTAAAGAGAAATTAGAATTCTTGTGAAAGCAGTCTGTATTCAGTCAGTGCAGTATGTCAAAATGATTTTTGATCTTGAACATCTCCAAAGTCCCATCCAGATTTCAAGGCATTTAGTCCCCAGTTTGATCAAGCAACGTGTCTCAAATATTTGTCTTTTTTCTTTCTTTTATATCTAAAAATCAGATATGAGCATCCTGTAGTTTTCTGCTTACTATTACCTGTATTTTTGTTTTGGTTTTCTTTTTTTTATATGCACATTTTGAAGCTTGTTTCATTTGTGTAGATTACAGATTTTAGCCTCCAAACAAATTTGTAAATTCTTTATTGCTAACGTGTAACTAAAGCTCCAAGGGGAAAAACGTCACTGCTTCCGTCACTCATGCCTGTTTTTGCTCCTAAGGCATTTCCTTCAGTCCATAAAGGTGTGAAGACGCTCCGCCCGATCCATTGCACTATACGATATGTTTTGACAATGACTTTTGGAAGTGTCTTTAATCGATGATACCAAAATCAACTCTCTCCAGATTAACATTTTTTTTTTTTTTAAACAAAAAAATGTTTTCCAGGATAAACCAACAGCCTTTATTAAATGTGCCAATTACCAAGTTAGTTTCCGATATCCTGCCTTCTTAGTTTGACCTCATTGACTTCCCAGCCACTGAAATATCTTCATTCACATATTGAAAAAAAAATCATTAAAAACTAACCTAAGTTAAACTGTTTTGAATGTCCGCACTAAGTGCATTGTAATGCCTGTTTTTAAAAAGAAGACATAAGTTTTATTACTCAAGCATGTAACAATTTGTATTACTTCAGGATCCTTACATATGTAAATGATGACACTCCTGTGCCAACAAATCTCGCTGGTTATCAGAGGACGACACTGTAAATGGTGGGGGTGACCGGCGCAGTTGGCCTGCTTTGGATAACAGATGTTCTGGGATTTTTCCCTACCTTTCCATCAGAGCGCTGATGTTTGTGTCAAAACTGGAACGGGACTCGCCGGCAAACGCCCAGAAAGTGGGGAAATCACTTGAATTAGTGTATAGGTAACATACCTGTACAAATACAGATCTGCTAAATTCTCTGTGGGGAAAAGAAACATGGGTTAATCTCTATATCTACAGTGAAAATAGGGTGAACAAATGTGTTTTTTTTGGGGGGTATTCAAACAGGGAGTTGATTTTTATCTTTTATTTTTCATGTTCATTCTGTACAGTCATGCCATTCAACCACTGCAGTCATTGTTAATTCTTGTACAAGTTGTATCACTGGTTGTTGTACCATACCTGACATTTGTAATTAAGAAATAATACACTGCCATTTGTATTAAAAAGAGGTGTCCTGACGTGTTTTTCTTTTGTTAATTTGTGTTTGGGAATGAAAGGCAGAGGAGGAAAAACATTTTCTTGAATGTTGCAGAGCCAACAGAAACTAAACATAAATTAAACCTGTTAGGTGGGTCACTTTAAGGTGTGCAAAAGGAATAGCAAATAAATGTTTGAGCTAAAGACACAAAGCAGCCCTCTGCAGCAATGGTGAAAACCAATAAACTAACAATTCCGGCGATTACATTGCTAAATATGACTGAAATTGCTCAAACTAGGTTGAAGTCCATATACCTCATTGCATAATTTGGAATTGATAGAAGCATTTCTCATTGATTTCTATTTCTTTCTACGTTGTAGATATAATGGAGAATATATCAAAGCAAATAGGCAAAAGTATGGAGAATTATGTAGAAAATAAAGAAGAAATTAGAAACCCAGCATATCTTTATCAATTCCAGATACCTGCCTTTGATTTGAGGACTACTTGAACAGCCCTGGTGTCCTTTCCTTAGCGGGTAGTCATCTAAAATAGGTTTACAACAATTATAGGTAGTTTGTCATAACATTCTTATTTATATGTACGTCATGTTATTTACACAAAATCTATCATATAAAAGATGGACCAGTCTGCACGTATGAAGAAGCTGAAATAATAGGTAATAAAAATAAAAACAGCAGATGGCAACAAAAGGCTTTCACTTTGCTCCTTGGTATGTGTGAATTGAAACATATATTTAAAGGTGTTACAGTAACAGATTTTAGGTTGGTCTCCAGGATGCAGCTTATAGATCTCTCTCCATTCTGTTATGGCAAAAGAGTGTCTGGGATCCCAATAACCATTAAAACATACCAACTGGTTACATACAGGTGCTGGTCATAAAATTAGAATATCATGAAAAAGTAGATTGATTTCAGTAATTCCATTTAAAAAGTGAAACTTGTATATTATATTCATACATTACATACAAACTCATATATTTCAGATGTTTATTTTGTTTAATTTTGATGATTACAAATGACAACAAATGAAAATCTCAAATTCATCATATCAGAAAATTAGAATATTACTGAAGACCAATAAAAACAAAGGATTTATAGAAATGTTGGCCAACTGAAAAGTATGAACATGAAAAGTATGAGCATGTACAGCACTCAGTATTTAGTTGGGCCTCCTTTGGCCTGTATTACTGCAGCAATGCGGCGTGGCATGGAGTCGATCAGTCTGTGGCACTGCTCAGGTGTTATGATAGCCCAGGTTGCTCTAATAGTGGCTTTTAGCTCTTCTGAATTGTTGGGTCTGGTGTATTGCATCTTCTTCTTCACAATACCCCATAGATTTTCTATGGGGTTAAGGTCAGGAGAGTTTGCTGGCCAATTAAGAACAGGGATACCATGGTCCTTCAACCAGGTACTGGTAGCTTTGGCACTGTGTGCAGGTGTCAAGTCCTGTTGGAAAATGAAATCTGCATCTCCAAAAAGTTGGTCAGCTGCAGGAAGCATGAAGTGCTCTAAAACTTCCTGGTATGTGGCTGCGTTGACCCTGGACCTCAGAAAACACAATGGACCAACACCAGCAGATGACATGGCACCCCAAACCATCACTGACTGTGGAAACTTTACACTGGACTTCAAGCAACGTGGATGAAGTGCCTCTCTTCTTTTCCTCCAGACTCTGGGACCTTGATTTCCAAAGGAAATGCAAAATTTACTTTCATCAGAGAACATGACTTTGGACCACTCACCAGCAGTCCAGTCCTGTTTCTCTTTAGCCCAGGCAAGACGCTTCTGACGCTGTCTGTGGTTCAAGAGTGGCTTGACACAAGGAATGCGACAGCAGAAACCCATGTCTTTCATACGTCTGTGTGTGGTGGTTCTTGAAGCACTCACTCCAGCTGCAGTCCACTCTTTGTGAATCTCCCCCACATTTTTGAATGGGTTTTGTTTCACAATCCTCTCCAGGGTGCGGTTATCTCTCTTGCTTGTACACTTTTTTCGACCACATCTTTTCCTTCCCTTCGCCTCTCTATTAATGTGCTTGGACACTGAGCTCTGTGAACAGCCAGCCTCTTTAGCGATGACCTTTTGTGTCTTGCCCTCCTTGTGCAAGGTGTCGATGGTCGTCTTTTGGACAACTGTCAAGTCAGCAGTCTTCCCCATGATTGTGTAGCCTATAGAACTAGACTGAAAGATCATTTAAAGGCTTTTGCAGGTGGTTTGAGTTAATTAGCTGATTAGAGTGTGGCACCAGGGGCCATCAATTTTGAACCTTTTCACAATATTCTAATTTTCTGATATGATGAATTTGAGATTTTCATTTGTTGTCATTTGTAATCATCAAAATTAAACAAAATAAACATCTGAAATATATGAGTTTGTATGTAATGTATGAATATAATATACAAGTTTCACTTTTTA